ACTGTTACTCCTGGTTTATTGATTGAGGTGGGGGTCTCACTTTTTGTTCAGGCTGGCCTCAAACTGTGATCTTCCTGATCCAAGCCTCAGGTGGTATTACAGGCATGGTGGTTTTACAACTTTGGCAAGCAGAGGTTAATTGTTATCCACATTGACAGTAGTGCTAACGACAGTGGTAACCAGTATATAGGTAACCAAAGTATATATACAGTTTGTTAGGGGAACTTCATCCTCATTGTTTTTGGACAACTGTTACACAGTACAGTCTGGCTCAAACTGTTTGGTTGAGCCTGGAATCAGTGTGTACATCTGGAGTCCCCATGTCCTTCATGGCAAATTTCTGGATCTCTAGAGTTCCGGAGGGGCCATGCTTTGTGAAGCCCAATCTATGGATTTTCTTGTATTGATGGTTTATTCTTGGGTCACCACCTCATTGGTGGCAGGTGGTCAAGCTGGAAAGGAAGAATGGGAAGTCTTGTGGAAAGAGGAAAAGCTACAGTCATCTTTCCCTAAACATTTTATCTTTCTTGTTGATGAAAATCTCCAATACATTAAATAATAGTGGAGGTGATGGGCATCTTTGACTCAGAGAGAGGAGCAGAGATGGACAGAGATGAGAAATTCCTGGAATGGTGTCTGCAGTGCCCCTCCTTTTTTCCACCTAAGAAGTCTGAGCTAGATCTTTTCCTTGCTATCCAAGCATATCTCAGTGGCTAAAAATGAATTTTGTAGCCTTGGGTAGAAAAACTGACTGTCACTTAATAGTGAGACTGTAGGCAAGGCAGCAAAACCGAGTGAAGTCGATACCTCACAGATGATGGGATAAGAATGTGACAGGGATGAGACTGTGCACATTCACCATTTAGAACCACATAGAATGTGCTCAATGCAACGTAGCTGTAATTGGGCAAAGGGAAAGGATGCAATTAGATTAACAAGAATTCTTTTAACCACCAAGGCTCTATGTTCCCATCTCTGCAGAGTCTGGGATTTATTTATTTAGAGATAGGCTCTCTATCTCTCAAGCTTGTGATCCTCCTGCCTTACCCTGAGATTAGAGGCATGTACTACCATGCCCAGCTGGGATTTACTTTAAAATATGCCAGCAAAGAAAAATTAATCTTGATAACCATTGGACAGATGGGAATTCATTGTGCCAGTCTCTCACTTCTTAAATTTTCATATATTTTTTTAAAAGAAGGCCTAGTCAATACTCAGCAAAAAGAGCAATGCTGGAGGTATCACAATACCTTACTTCAAACTATATTACAAAGCCATAGCAATAAAGACAGCATGGTACTGGCACAAAAACAGATATGAAGACCAGTGAAACAGAATAGAGGACACAGATATGAATCCACACAGTGATGCACACCTTATTTTTGACAAAGGTGCCAAAAACATACGATGTAGGATAGCCTGTAACAAATGTTGCTGGGAAAAGTGGATATCTGCCTGCAGAAAACTGAAACTAGATCCATGTCTATCACCCTGTACTAGTATCAACTCAAAATGGATTAAGGACCTTAACATCAGACCCAAACTCTGAAGTTAGTACAGGAAGGAGCACGGAATACTCTGGAAGCAGTAGGTATAGACAAGGACTTCCTCAGTAGAACTCCAGCAGCTCAGCAACTAAGAGAAAGGATGGACAAATGGGACTACATGAAATTAAAAGCTTCTGCACAACAACAACAAAAAAATGGTCTCTAAACTGAAGAGACCACCCACAGAGTGGGAGAAAATACTTGCTGGGTATACATCAGATGAAGGACTGATAACCAGAATATACGGAGAGCTCAAAAAACTAAAAACTCCCCCAAAATCAATGAACTAATAAAGAAATGGGCAACTGAACTAAATAGAACTTTTTCAAAGGAAGAAACCCAAATGGCCAAAAAACACATGAAAAAATGCTCACCATCCCTGGCCATAAAGGAAATGCAAATCAAAACCACACTTAAGATTCCACCTCACTCCTGCTATAATAGCTTTCATCAAAAACACCACCACCACCAAATGTTGGCAAGGATGTGGGGAAAAAGGAACACTCGTACACTGCTGGTGGTAATGTAAGCTAGTACAATCACTTTGGAAAACAATATGGAGGCTTCTTAAAAAACTAAACATAGATCTGCCATATGATCCAGCAATCCCACTCCTAGGGATCTACCCAAAGGCATGCGACTCAGGTTATTCCATAGGCACCTGCATACCCATGTTTATTGCAGTGCTATTCACAATAGCCAAGTTATGGAAGCAGCCAAGATGCCCCACTACTGACAAATGGATTAAGAAAACATGGTATTTATACACAATGGAATTTTACTCAGCCATGAAGAAAAATGAAATCTTGTCATTCACAAATTAATGGATAGAACTGGAGAACATCATCTTAAGTGAGGTTAGCCAGGCTCAGAAGGCCAAAAACTGTATGTTCTTCCTCATATGCGGACTTTAGACCTAAAACAAATACAGTAATATTATTGGACATGGGTCACATGCTAAGGGAGAACACATACAGGAGGAATAGGGAAAGGTAGGAAACCCAAAACTTCAAAGTGTTTGATGTGCCCACTGTACAGGAGCTAATATAGTAATCTTAAACTGACAGAGGTCACTATGGGAAGGTGACCAGGAAGTAGTGAAGAGGTCTGGTAGAGATGAGTCAATTTGGGTTGTAATACACAAGTGCAGGGAAGCAATGCTAAGAGTATCTCTGTATGGCTATCCTTATCTCAAAGTAGCAAAAAACTCTTTCTTTCTCATTATCACTTATGTTTTCTCAACAAAATTGGAGAAGAGGGCAGAACAGGTTCTGCCTGGAAGCAAGGAGGGGAGAGAGGGAAGGGGCAGGAAGCAGGGGGAAGGGGGGAGAGATGGCCTAAACAATGTATGCACATATGAATAAATGAATTAAAAAAAAATAAAGGCCTAGTGAGGAGTAGCTCTTTGGTAAAGCACATGCCTAGCTAGCATAAGGCCCTGAGTTCAAACTCCAGTACCACCAAAAAAGAAAAAAATGTCTGAAGAAGGCCTAGTGAAATTATGTAGTTTTTCTTTTGACTGCTGTTGAGGGGGTGAGAGGCACTGATTTCCAAGTATTGGCTGACCTTGCATTCCTGGAGTGGACGCAGCTTGGCCATAAACAATGTAATGGCATTTAGTTTGGGTTTCTTGCAAGGTAAAGTGCAGTGTGGCGTGTTCCTTCCTATGATATCTGAGGCAGGCCTTGGAGCGGGGCTTGTGCTGACCTTGGGAATGAGGAAGTTCCTTTTTTCTGTTTTTGAAGGAATTTGTGTGAGGTTGGTGTGTTTTCTTAAATGTTTTGACCTGAATCATGATTACACTTTACTTTTAAATCTGTGATCTGTTAATCACAATTTGCATTTTCTGATATATGTAGACATAATTTTAAAAATGAACATTCTGTGTGCAATGGTGGGATTGAATCCAGGGCTTCATACGTGTTAGACAAGCACTCTACCATTGAGCTAAACCTATAGTATCTAAAAACAAACACTTTTGTACAAATAAAGTGGGGGGGAGGGGCTTTTTTTTAGTTACAAAATGTGTTGCTTTCTTACCTAAGAGCAAAATCATCCTCTCACCTTAATGACTGAGCTAATCTAGATAAAATTCCCTTAACACAAGCTTTCACCACCACCATGATCATCATGGACATTTACCACAGGACTAATTGCCAGGCACTGGCCGCATTGTGGGTGTCCTTTCATCATTACCATAAACCTACAAGGTAACTCCTGGTAGAGCTCCCACATTTCAGAAGAGAAAACTGAAATCTAGCAAGCTACATCCAGGGGCTAGGAACTGAGGCCCGTTGTTTGACTGCAGACTGTGATACAGCACATACACCACTACCATGTGGAGATAGCACAACCTGGCAGGAAAAAGACAATCTGGGTTCTAACCCCACTTCTGCCCCACTAGCTGTGAGACACTGAGCAAGTCATGTCACTCTTCTGGCACTGACGTCCTTGCTGTCTGGCCTGGTCTACAATGTCATTTTGAAACCCTACCTGCAGGCCTGGGTTTTGGAGGCACCATGCTGGGGGTCAGGCAGCAGGAGCAGCTTTTCTTCCTGTGTAGCAGAGAATACTATGGTTTGACTGTTTTTGTCCTGTCCAAAAATCATGTTGAAAATCAACAATGTAACCGTATTTAGCGATGGAGCCTTTCAAGGAGTCATTAATTCATTATGAGGGTACAACCCTCATGAAAGAGACTAACTGCTTGTAAAAAGGCTTGATGGAGGGAGTTCGTCCCTTCCTTTATGCCATGTGTGGACACGGTGTTCTTCTCCTCTGGAGGAAACAGTATTTTGGAGGTGCCATCTTAGAAGCACCAGATAACTGAACCTGCTAGTTCTCCATCCCCAGAATTACGAGGAAATCTGTTCTTCATAAATTACCCAGACTCACATACTTTTGTTACAAATGGACTAAGACATGTACATAAATTAATGGTTCTGAGGTTTTGAATGTTCTGAAGGCTAATGACCACTTATTTCTTCAGTTTCCTTTGTCTTAATGATTCTACTGAGTCAACAGATGAATGATTCTATGAGTATTGTATGATTCCACCATCCATCCCATTATCCAACTCCTAGTTGGGCGTAGACTAAATTCATCTAACTGAAGAATTCTCCATTACACTCAAGTGTTCATTCTCTATAACCTTTCTAGAATAAATTCTTTGCTTTTACAATGACACCCAGATGATTCCCTAACTTTCTATCATGTAACAAATCCCATTTAGAACCTATTTCCTCCCTATAATGCAACATTCTCCAGGGTACTATAGTACTAGTCTACCCTTACACTACTTTGCACTTAATTTCTGTAGTGTTTAGTAAAGAGTCTGATAGAGTATTTTGGCACTCAAGTGATGTTTAACCTGATAACAATAAACCCAATCCTCGAAGACTTAAAAAAAAAAAAATCAAACCATTAGACAAATGTAACTTTTTGAGACTTCAGTTTTGAAATACATAACTTTTACAGCACAAACACAGTATTTACATTTCAAGTTCTTTTTACAAAATATGTGTGCCATTTTTGAAGAATACTGTTGAGATCATGATCTAAAATACCTGCCAAGAGTTCAAACAGGACTCGTGAGAGCAGGTCTCCGCAAATGATGTAACAAAACATGCCTGAACGTCTGGGTCTACCCATACATAAAAAAGAAGTTAATCCTCCTTGTCTGCCAACAACGGACTATGGGTCAAATCTGGCTAGTTGCCTGTTTTTGTACAGCTGAAAGCTAAACATGGGTTTTACATTTTGATATTGTTGTTTAAAAAAAAACTAAACAAAGAAGAATATGTGACAGAGGCACATGTATCCTTCAGTTACTTATTATCTGGCTTCTCACACAAAAAACTTGTTGATCCTTGCTCTATACAAAACCGACTGAGAGAGACAGAAAGCTACTGGGATATACTGATGAGTATTAAACTAGACGCCACAGTTGTGTGCTAGTGCGAAAGGCACTCATTTCTGAAATGAGGCACTTTTGCTGAATATGTACATTTCCAAAACATAATTACATCTGGTAAGTAGCACTGCTACTTAACTCTAGCCCTTTGTAATTAGGCCTGTGCACAAAATCATAGTATTCTTAGGGACTAAACTAAACAAGCACAAAGCATTTCCAATGTCAGTCATTGAGCTCTTCAGTAGTCATTAGTGGTTCAAAACCACTTAAGTGTTAATAAAATCAATAATTTAGATGTTGCCAATAGGTGATATCATGGCATTATTTAAATAACATTCATAAAAACATATGTAGACACCTCAATTCATTATTTTCAGAACTTAGTGGCTACTTATTTTAAAAATGAAAAATGGAAAAAAGGAAAACAGAAGTGAAAAACTATCACAAAAGGCTTTGGAATGCAAACACTGGGGTCTCAGCAATTGCTCCCAAGCTGGCCTTGGCTTCTCATATTAGTTTGCAATGGTGGTGGGAGGAAATTAGCAGCTCTTCAGCAAGCCTTCTTACAAACAAAATGCCAAGTCCATGGGCAAATGCTTTAAAAGTAAAATCAGTTCAAAGCTGCTCAACACACAAGTTTTCAATGTGTTAATTCAATAATTCCTGGGCAGTGGGCTATAACTCAAGCCATGGAACAGCATGGTTCTGGATGTCTTCCCTTCTTTCGGCAAAGTTGGCTAAGCTTCCCAACACAAAAACATCCCTGTGATGCTGAGTTTAAGATGCTCAGTAGGTGCTGAGGTAGATGATTTTCAAATGAAGATCTTCTATACCCTGATTCGATCAGGACTAGCCTCCTTGTGTATCCTCCTCCTGGGAAATATCTTCCGCTTAAGAGCAATCAACTACATGATCAAAGAGAAAATAAATGTTAATTTTCCATATTGATAAAAGTGTGAGAGTATCAAACTTACCTTCTGAGAGCCACATGTCCTCATAATTTCCACAGTCTTACACATAAGAAACAGGTAACAAATTTCCATCATTTTTCTCTGAAAACAAAACTAATCACTAATTTTGTTTAGCTTTGTAGGGCCACTATACCTACAGATGCACACACAAAGAGACCCAAGAGAATTATAGTTATTTTGGCCCACAACTCATTTTTCTAAGATCTATAACCAAGATTTTTACATGGTCATTACCAAGGACATTTATTTTTAAGAAATCTGTTTGTGAAGTCTTTTTATTGAAGGGAAGTAGTCTAATCATACAAACACTGCTTCCTGGTTTGAATATGACTACATTTATAAGACAGATTTTTAAAAATACCTACATTATAAATTATATCAACATGTTTTTCTATACTTAACCTAACAACAATCATGTGAAAATAAAAAAATACCCTACATATGAATGGACTATACTACAGAAGGTTCCTTTGTAAATCAGTAGCTAAGAACTTGGATACCTATCTTTTAATAAATGCTATATCTGAAATGGAAAGCCTAACCATCATTAAATTTTCAGTAAGGTGGAAAAATAATGTTGACCAGGTGCTCATGCAAGTAATCCCAGCTACTTGGGAGACGGAAATAGGGAGCTCAAGTCTAGCCTGGGCAAAAAAAGTTAACAAGACCCCATCTCAACCAATAAAACTTGGTATGGTGGCATGCAGCTGTCATTCCAGTTATGAGGGAGGTGTAAACAGGAGGATCATGGTCCAGGCTGGCCCAGGCAAAAATGCAAGACCGTATTAAGAAAAAAAGAACTAAAAGCAAAAAGGTCTAGGGGCATGGCTCAAGTGGTAGAACACCTCCCTAACAAATGTAAGGCCTTGAGTTGAAACCCCAGAACTGGAGAGAGAGAGAGAGAGAGAGAAGGGAAGAAAAGAAGGGAGGAAGGAAGGAAGAGAGGGAGGGAGTGAGTTCTGCATGCTTTCCATCTGGATCCCTATTGTTTACTTCATTTTCCCTCTCCACAGCTATGTAGGACTGGCTACTTCTTCCTCTAGAGGCAGAAAGCAGGTCTTTGCCCAAGCACCATGGTTTGATTCATAAGCCCAAACTACTCAGAGTAGAGGGAGAGGCAGTACTGGCCGTGAGGGTGTAAAGAGTGGCAGGAGCGAGGAACTTGACTCCACCAGGTGGAGAGTAGGATGCTGGAGAGGCAAGGCAAGGAATTTCTTTTTTTTCCTACCTCTAGTTCCCTGTTATCTGCTAGTACAAATGAAATAGAGGAAGACTGACCCTTCTGTTTCCTTTCTGTGTCCCCAATAGCTTCTTTCAGCTGGTTCCCTCTATTTCTTCATCTCAGGACAGCTAAGAGAAAACTCACAGTTTTTTCAACAGACCTCTGTTCTAACAGCAGATAGCCTTTTTGAGATTTTTTTTTTTTAAAGTTTTTTACCTACCAGGAACAATGGCAACAAATACCAAGAAGATGTATATTCCTGCAGATCTGGATGAAGGTTAAATTGCCCTCCTGCCCACTTGCCCAAGCTCCATTTCCTGAATTTCCTTCTATCTGTTCAAGAAGTGCAATCATTTATCCTAAAGCTCTCAGTATTTAGGTACTGTCTCCCTCTTGATCTGAGTAAATTTGGTGTACATTTCCTTTGAGTGATAGCCAGAAACACTCCAATTGGAGGCTGAGGTGGGCCCAGTTGCTTATTCCTTTTCAATCTTTTTTCTTCACAGCATTTCACACCTGCAGTCTAATGAGGATTCTCTTATTCCTTTCTTTTCACCCACAAATCTCCCTCTTACTCTGGATCCTCACTAAGGAGGCTGAATATACACACAGTGAGCTCAGGGGCCGACAACAGAGAGGAGTATGGCAGGACAGCACACAGATCTGTGGGGCATCTGAAGAGAGAACACTACAGTCACTCTTGGAAGGCTAAAAGAAAGGAAGAAAATTAGAGATGCATAAAAAAAGTGTTATCAGGTGAGGATTCTAGGCAGGCTTTTGGTTAAAAATAGAACTTCTCAGTTTTAGCTGGTAGTCTGCAAGTTAATCCGCTGAGTTCCAGGTAAAAAGCAGGTAATGGATTTAGTACATAAATGAGTAAAAGGCAATTATATTGGCTGCCTGAATATTAAGAAATACATTTGTCATATGAACTACCAGCCAATAGGTGAAATTAAAATTTTCTAGTTGAGAAATTTTTCTTTTCCTTTCTTGGATTGTTTTTTATTTTGAGACAGGGTCTTACAATGTAGCCTAGGCTGGCCTTGAACTTATGATCCTCTTGCCTCTGACTCTCAAGTGCTGGGATTACAGGTATCCACTGACACATATTACTTTGTGAGTTTATATCATTTTCGAAAAATCAGGTGCTAGTGTACCAAAGACAAACTGTCTTTATTTAAAACTTACCTGTTCAGCAAAAAATGAGAATATAGTAAATATAATCAAGGTTGCTAGTACACAGTGAGTCCAAAACTTCAATTTGTCCCGATATGCCCGCCTGTGCAGAGACAGAAGAAAATATGTACCTGTGTTTATGCAATCACTATCATTAGTTAAGAGTTATTTATATACTAGCTTTACAAAATCAATGTGTGAAAGACAGAAACACTGCTCAGAAGCAATGCTAAAATGTTAACACATGATCCATTTCCACTCTGAGTTCAGCTTTGTTATTATGTCATAGTACAAATACTGTTCTTGAAGTACTGAAAGTCATGCAGGCAGGAGAGAAGACTTCAAAGGAAAAGTTACTTGTGGCATTTAAACAAAACCTCTCATTGATTTTTGTTGGTTCATATTCATTTATTTCCTTACTTCATCACTGGGAAATTTCCTACGGCTGGAGGATGAACAAGACCACCATGTTCACAAACATGGGAAGTCACTGACAGGCCCTCACATCAGATGGACAGAAATACATATTATCAAAAGCAAAGTCTTGTGGAAAAACTGACAGACAAGGCCAGCACCACCTAGACAATCACATTTCCTTTGGCCTTGAAGGCGAACAAGCAGTGGGAGAGTCATGGCAAATTCGCAGCGTCCCCTATAGGACTGGCTGAGTGAGGCCTGGGGGAGCTGAGCCCAGGAAGGTGGTGGGCAGAAACCATGGCCTCTCTGGAAAACCCTGCAGTGGGGTTCCAACATAAAACTCCAGTGGGAAAGTAGATGAAATGGGGGGGGGCAGGCGTGTGACACCATCAGGGTAAATATGGAGGCCATTTGAAGGACAGAGTGATAAGTAAGGCACACAGAAGGGGCTGTTCATGGTAGCAAGAATGAGAAGCAATAGAACACAGGAGACATTGTGAAGGTAGAATGAATCAGACCTGGGGACAGCAGGATGTTGAGTTAAAGAAAGGCAGCATAGCAGTTTCTACCTATAACTTAGAAAGGAGTCATGTGTGATGAAGATTCAATAAAAAACGCCAAACATAAGCTTGGAACAGAAGCAAGACTCAGGCCTTGGTGCTGAACTCCAGATTCTCACTCACAACAGTTTGGGAGTGGATGCCTCTTCCTTAAGCCACACACTCTCCCATACATGGATCTTCCTCCTCTTGTTCTTACATCTGTTAGTAGGCTCACAACTGGCTCAGTCAATGCTAATGTCTATGGTGTCATTCAGACTCCACTGTATAATCTAAAGAGCTAAGAAGCCACAGGTATGGGATAGCTAAAGTGCTGCCCCAGCTGGTGGAGTGGCTCAGTGGTAGGGCACCTGCCTACCAAGTATGAGGCCCTGAGTTCAAACCCTAGTACAGCCAAAAAATAAAAAAACAGACTTAGAAAGTGCTGCCCCAGCAGTCAGAGAGCCCAGTCACTGAGGACCTGCTGTGTTCCAGGGAAGCACTGTGGACTTGGAGGCCAGTAAGACACTGCCTTTATCCCTAAAAGGGGCACACAGTTTACCAGGAGAGACAAACACAACCAGAAAGATTGTTGTCTAGTGCAGCAGGTACTGTACTAAGAAAGGAAAAAGAAAAGGGGAAAAGGGATGGTTTCCAGAAGGCAGGGCTGGACTGGTGGGGCAGCACCAAGGGACCAACCAGACAGAAGCAGAGAAGAAACCAGAAGCCCCAGATCAGGGGACTGCAAAAAAAGAAAAAAAAACCAAACAAAAACAAAAACCAAACCTAATACAGAAATTAAAGTCCTCTTAAACTACTAATCTTTTTGAAGGAGGGGAGCAGTATGGGAGGGGGTTAAATTCAGGGATTTACTCTTGCTAGGCAGAAGCTCATTTTTGCTTTAGTTATTTTTTCAGATAGGGTTTTGCAATTTGCCCAGGGCCAACCTTAGGTCACAATCCTCCTACATATGCCTCCTGTGTAGCTAGGATTCCAGACCCCCCATGTCTGGCTTCTTTTTTGAGGTGGGGTCTTAATAACTTTTTGCCCAAGGCTGGCCCCAATTTGTAATCCTCCCAATCTCTACCTCCTAAGTAGCTGGGATTATAGATGTAAGCTCCTCACAGCCCCCAGCTCAAACTACACTTAAGCCCATTCCTTTCTTATTCATTTGGGCCTTTGAAGATAAATTCAGTCACACATTAGATTTGGGGTACTGACACTTAGAACCATCTAAAGAACTTTATCTTCTAAGGTAAAGAAAAGTGAAAAGGATGAGAAGTCAATCCTTGCCATTTCTGTAAACAAGACCCTGATTCTGTAACAATTTCTCCACATAAAAAATAAAAATACAAGCTAGGCATCCTGTGGCTCATGCCTATAATCTTAGTTACTAGGCAGACACAGATCAGGAGAAGTGTGGTCCAGCCCAGGCAAATAGTGCAAGAGACCCCATCTTAAAAATGCCCAAAACAAAAAAAGGGCTGGTATAGTGACTCAAGTTCAAGAACATCTGCCTAGCAAATGTGAGGCCCTGAATTCAAACCCAGTAGTATCACCAACACAAAAAAGGGGGAAAAAAAAGAAAATACATAGATATCAGCAATACACATACAAATTGTCTCATTTATCCAAGTTGAACACACTGAGAACTTGTTTCAAGTTGGTAAGGTCTGCTAATTTTCCCTCTAAAGTCTCTCCCAGTTCTGTCTACTGCTTTTTCTCTAGGCTGTGTTCTTGGTTCACACATGAGTGTTTTTGATTACTGAAATGCTATCACTATCATTTGTCTGCCTGCCTCCCATACCCACACAACTCTTCTACTGGTCCAGTGTTGCTCCACACTGCTGTTGGCTGTCACTTCACATCATTTAGATCATCTCTCCTGGGGGATCTTATTTGTCAAAGAAAAAGTCTAATTCAGATACAGTATTTCATAAGCTCTCCTGTCCCTCAAAACATCCCTGAGCACATGGCATGTCTTCTACCAAAAATGCTCTTTCCTCCCTGGAAAAGTCAGCTTAAAACATCTTAATATGTTTTCTTTCTTTTTTATTTTTATTTTATTTTGGTGGGGGGAGGCAGTATTAGGGTTTCAACTCAGGGCCTCATGCTCTCTAGGCAGGCACCCTATCACTTGAACCACTCTGTCAGCCCTCGGCTTAATATTTTAATATTTCACAATCTACTCCAAATGTCATCTTCTCCCAGAAAAATAAGCACTGCCTCCTCTGTACACCAACAGTATTGTACTCTACTGCCACCCTATTCTGTATCACAACTATTTGCTCAGTCTCTGTCACCCTAGACAGACTGAGCACCTCAAAGCCTATACCCTATACATTTCATCTTTGTATTCCTAGTACTTGAGGCAGACCAAAAGTCAAAAATCTTTTAAATAAAAAAAAATATCTTTTCAATTAAGTGTTAGCAGTGGCAGAAGAATAAGAGACAAAGGCTTTGGGCTGGTGGAAAAGGTGACAGGGGAAATTTATGGCTGATAAAAGAGGGCAGTGGGAGCACTGGAAAAACTGTGGTAAAATAACTGGTGGAGTGAGAGACATTAAGGAATGTTAAGGGCATCTCCTTTCTGAAGCCCTGTCTAGAACCATCCCCAGAGCAGTGAGATTTTGACTGCCAGAGCCACAAAGCCTTAGAAGCCATCTGCACTAGAAAACAGGCCAATGGCAAGAAAGGGATTCATTCAGGGCCACGCACTAAATGAGCACTGCTTGGCTTTGAGTCCAGGTCTCCTGGACATAATTTTTTTTTTTTTAAAAAACACTACATTTGGAAAAGTTGCAACAATAGTACAAAGAATACATGTAACCTTTATTAAATTCACTGATTGTTAAAAATTTGCTCTGTGTACTTTGTTTTTTGTTCTCTCTCCCCACTTCCTTTCTCTTGTCTTCCCCTCTCTGCCATACTCTGTGGAAGGGAGTGTGTATTTCCTAAGAATAAGAACGCCTTTTATTTGCATAAATGTAATCTCCTTTCTGCATTCCAATTATTCCAATTATTGGTCCAATAATGAACTTTATAGCACTCCCCTCTAATATATAAGAAAAAATGAAGAAAACATGCAAAGCATCTTTGGAATAGAGTGGATGTGAGAGAATGAAGGATCAGGCTGGATCAGTTCCCTTTCTACAGAATGAGGAGTGAGTGGACCTACCACAAAGCTGTGAAAGAGTAAGAATGTGCACAGAAGGTTCTTGGCATGGTGCTAGCCATTCATACACTCAACAGTGACCCCGATTACTCCCACAGTACTCAATGCATCAGCTGACTGAACGAACATAAGAATGAAAAGCATAGCAGAAAGAAAATACAAACTGTCACATCAGTGTGACTTGTACTTTTTTTTTCCTAGATAACTAGGAATTACTTCACATATCTTTTTTGATGGTTCCATTTCTCCTCAGGTCCTCTAAGTATAACACACTCAAATTTTCTTTCTTGACTCTGCTATGCCACTTGACAACCTACCCTGGATCATGATTTCTTGAACGAGGTCTCCCCAGTTCCAGCCTCTCTCTTGCCACCCTCTCTCAATTTACTGCTGTTGATACAGCACCACTGCATCCCGCTGCCTTTTCCCCATGCCCCAGGCCAGCAACACCATGCTTTTTAAGTTAACCAGACTTAAAACCTCAGGCAACTTCTGGCTCTCCTGTCCGTCAGACTGGTAAGTCATCAGCTTCATACCATCATTCCTTTTTAACATCTTGTTCTTCATTCCTGCTCCTATGACTTTGATTTGAAATAGCACTCATGGCATCTCAGGTTATTCCAGTATCAAAAATGCCCCCCCACATGAAAGCCAGACACATATAGGTTACCCACTATATGATCCATTCCATAAGCAACATCCCAAACAAGTGAATGGAAAAAGAAGGAAAGAAGATGAATGGCTAGTGAGGGGTTAATGGTAGAAAATGGTGAGTGACAGCTTAATGGATATGGAATATACTTCTGGAGTGACGAAAAAAAATTTCAAACTAGAGAGATGTTGCACAGCATTATAAATGCACTAAATCCCAGCAATCTATACATTTTAAAATGCTCAAGCATATTATGTGACTTTCACCTCAACTTTTTAAAAATGCTATCCTTGATGTTTACCTTCTCTTATTTTCATCCTTCACAAGTTTCTGATAACTTCTACACAATACTTACCAAATGTCAATCTTTCACTCATCTACAAAGTTTTCCGGTTGGTTCTAAAAGCTAACCTAACAGTCTGGTTGTGAAGGCTTATGTCCTACTATTTCAGCATATGAATTCTACAGCAGAGTCAGGCTGGCACCCACACTGCCGAGACCACTGTCACCTCAACCTGTTGCTCACCGTTGTTACCACTTTCTTTCAGGACTTAGCCGAACTGCACTGTTCCAAAACCCTTGGCCAGCTCAGTCCATATGACTCATGTCTCTATCGTTTGTAGTAACACAAGCTCTTCCCTATTGGCATTCCCCTTCACTTACACATTGATCAACGAACAGTTGAATAAATGAATGAAGTTCCAACAAAAATGAAAAAAGCCAAGCCAGGAGCTGGTGGCTCATGGCTGTAATCCTAGCTACTCAGGAGGCAGAGATCAGGAGGATCACGGTTCGAAGCCAGCCCAGGCATATACTTCCACAAGACCCCATCTCAAAAAACCCCTTTTCACAAAAAAGGGCTGGTGGAGTGGCTCAATATAGGCCCTGAGTTCAAGCCCCAATACCAAAAAAAAAAAAAAACCAAAACAAAAAAACCCCAGTTACACATTTTTTAAAATTTCTTAAAATGCCAGTAAATGTCTTTTAAACATTATATAACCATGTAGTTAAATACATAGAAAAATAACACATTAAAGAAATTTCATCACTCTAGGGCTGTGGTACGGCCAATTGATAAAGCACTTGCCTACAAGTGTGAGACCCTGAGTTCAAACCCCAGAATTGCAGAAAAAAAAATCTAATATATATGTGTGTGCGCGCGTACACACACACACACACACACACACACACACACACACACACACACACACACACACACACACAGAAAAAAAGAATGAGAATTTACCATTCCTGAAGCTCATGCATATGAAGGAATCGGTTCCGATACTCTCTTGGCAGCTCAAACTGGGAAGGTATTGGAAACATGGATTCATAGAAGTCCCTGAGAACGGCCTTCACTGTCTGAGCATCTTTATGATTGTGGTCAATGTTGTCATTCAAGCAAACAAACTTCCTGGAATAATAAAAAGTCTAGGTTATCAGTTGTCATGAGCATGATCCTGACCTGACAAAATAAGAAATATGGACTCCAAATGAAAATATGTTTTTTTGAGATAAGGTATCACTATGTTTGAAGCTGGCCTCAAACTCATGATCATTCTGCCTCAGCCTCTCAAATGGTGGGATTACAGCATGAATCACCACACTGGGTTCTCCAAAAATGCTTTAAATAGGCTTATGCCCCAGGTTAGCACATTTGTTGATATAGCCCTCTCGGGGGAGTAACATCCTGTAAAATCTTCCTTTAGCAATTCCTCACCTGAGGAATGTATCTCAGTGACAGTGTGCCTGCCTCGTGTGTGTGAAGCCTTGCGTTTGACCATCAGCACTGCCTCCCACCCAAAACAGAAGTAGTACCAGAACCAAGTTCTTTGAACAGTTGTCTTATGAATGGTCATTTGATAACCGAAATGGAGGTGGTGCCTTAAAGCTACAGACCCACAAGTTCGATGTGTGTCTGTGAACCAAGCTGTAAGCTGACGGAGTCCAGCAAAAAAGCAAGGGATGAAGCTTCCCTACTTGTCTCAAGTTCTCTTTGAGGCAAAAGTCACTAAAGTAAGGGCCCATTAAAATGGTGGGCTGGGATGACAACACTTTCGAAGACAAAGAAATATTTTTAAAAATCAAACAAATTTGATAAAGATTTCAGATCCAAATACCAGCTCATAGGAAATACAGGAGACATGGGAACATGTTAAACAACTAGGAAATGATCAAAGGAGCACAAAGTGTAGGAAATCCACACAATACAGAATCATATATACATGTAAAAATTATACAGTTGAAAGACAGAAATGGATGGGGAAACCTATAGATATGCTACAAAAATTTATTTGATACCACTTCAATAAGCTTAAAAGCAAAAACACATATTAAGCAGGAAGTGGCAACAAAGAAGTAAACGTTTTCAGATGAAACGAGATCAAATGTAAACTGACTGTTGTTGAAAACAGGTGATGTGTAGGTGCAAGTTCATACTTGCCCCATTCTATAGACTCACAGATGGCTTTAAATCAAAGGATACTCCAGAGCTATGTTAACCTAAATGCAATATGTGAGCCCTGATTGTATCCTATCCTAAAAAACAAACAAAAATCCATGAACAGTTATACAGAGCATGTGGGAAAGCTGAATAATGGCTATCTGTGAGATGGTCTCTGGCCACAGAGGAAGCCAACACAGCAGGGCAGCAGCAGATGTCATCAGTCAAGACCAGAGCCTGCCCTATCCCAGACTCTTGTTAGAGGTATAAACATGTCCTGAACCTGAGGTTACTGTGAAGACTACTTTCCTATGACTGACTTAAAATGAGCCCTCAAAGTAAAGAAAAACAAAGAAGAGTTAAAAGTGATAAAATATGTTTCAGAAACACAGGAGGCATCTGCTTGCCATGTATCTTTTTACTAAACCCTGTGCCTTGAGGTGCCACAAAGATGTTTATGAATTCTTTCACTCAACAACTTTCAAGCAGGCAAACCCTTAGAAGTTCTGCAGTCCCTCTGTGTGGTGAACCAATCCCAACATACAACCCTTATCTCTGTCAGGCCCAGCCCAAGCAACACCTCTTCCATCATTAGTCTGTCTATTTGCTCCACTTGGAATTAAGTCACTCCCTTTTCTCTAGTCCTGCTCCCCTTTAGTCATGCTTATTTCCAGAATTTAAACTATGTTTTTAAAGAATCATTACCTGGGATTTTTTCTAATATCATCCAGCTGGCCAACAACGTGAGAAACATTGGTACGAATCATTTTGAATGCAATTTCTTCTTCTCCCATGATTTCAAACCTAGTTGTCAAATAATATTTAAAGAGGTTAACTATTTGTATAAGTACAAAAACAAAATTTCAATAGGAAAAGCATTTTTAAAAACTCAAGTGGATTCAACATGCACAGAACGAATGACTCTTTCTATATTACTAAAAAAAAATCATCTATAAATTTTAAAAGAATGCTTAATAGAATATTGTAAAATCATGAAAATTCTAGGCCTTTGAAATCATTCTTAAGCTATGCAAAGATGTATATGCTACTTACCGATATTTGTTCTTGTCCTTATATGCTTTGTGGATTTTGTCAGTTACTGGTTTACAGTTGGTTACTAGACTTTTAGTGACTGGTGGCTGTGAGGAAATACAAGCAGACCAGAAATTCCATCAGAAGCTAGAATTGAGGCACACTTCAATTCAGGTGTCCAGAATTTAAGGGGGGCACCAAAAGACACAGTAAGCAAGGTAAATATTTAATGCAACAGCTTTGAAAAGTCACATTGGCAGCCTAGTAGCTAGTCACCTGTTTTTATAAAGTTCTATTTTAATCGAATATTAACTCTACAGTATGTTAAAATAGCCTTTATGTTACAGCTTTTTTTAGAAAGAAAATTTCTAACACAAAATATAATTAGCTAGTCTGTATGATATTCATAAGCAAACTTGTGATTCTTATAGTCTAATCAGAAAATACTTTCTTTATTGTGTTACATGTTAATTACAGTAATGAAGTTTATACCTTTGAAGTTCACTCAAGTAATGTTAGTGCTGCCAATAAAATAATTATGCTCTAAACAGTTTATTTGCATTAAGTCTTAAGACCCAATTATAATCACTAGAAACTTAATTCTTAAGAATTCTTATTTAATTCTTAGCTCTCAAAGGATATTTGTTGATTCTAAATTTCATGCCATGAATTTGACAAATGGTTAGGTCTTACTAGAAAGCCAGTTATTTGCAAGAGAAAGAAGAAAAATAGAGAAAGAAAAAGAAAGGCAAGTGAAAGCACAGATGTGGGAACAGGGATGGGAGAGAAGTCTTGAGTGAGAACTAAAATAGGCTGGGCCAGTAGTGGTGCTCCCAGGAGTTCTGTGCAAAGTCAGTGGCCTCTCAGCATATCACTGCATTGACCTAAAGAAATCACAGACCAACTGGAAGTGTTGCTCAAGAGGCAAGAGGTAGAGTGCCTGCCTAGCAAGTGCAAAGCCTTGAGTTCAAATCCTAGTACCACCACCAGAAAAAAAAAAAAAGAAACCAGAGGATTGGGTTAAGGAGAAAGGTTGAGGGAAGTAGTTCAGGAGCCCCAAACCCTTTCCATTTCCTTCCTCTGTCTTATCCACACTCTAAGCATGCACACACAAAGACAATATGGGAAAAGATAAATGAGGGTGGTCTAGAGCTTCCCGGTGCCTACTTTACCTCTTATGCAGAAAGGGTATGTCCAGACTATTGAGAGAAACTTAGTTATATTGATAAATACAAAGTTTTAACCCAGATTTTTGTCCTCTAGATGACTTAGAGTTGACTGAATTAAAGTCATCTAATGACTCTAATTTCTGGGAAAACAGAAGAGTTACTGAGTTACTGTCTTATAACTAAGAATGTTCTTCAGCCTGTACAGTCTAATTTCTAAGTTTTAAAAATTATTTTAAGGTGGGGACCAGTGGCTCACACCTGTAATTCTAGCTACTTGGGAGACTGAAATAGGGAGGATCACAGTTAAAGGCCATTCCAGGGAAAAATGTTTGTGAGACTCCATCTCTGTGGAAAAAGCTGGGTGTGGGTGGTGTGCGCCTATCATCCCAGCCACAGTCTGAAGCATAGGATCACAGTCCAGGCCCACTTGGGCAAAAAAGTGAGACCCTATCTCCAAAAGAACCACAGCAAAAAGGGCTGGAAGTGTGGCTCAAGTGGCTAAGAGCACCTGACTAGCAAGCATGAAGCCCTGAGTCAAACTCTAATACTCCCTTTCTCCCTAGAGACAGGAAAAAAAAACGACTGTGATTACCTAAATATCGTCTTAGGAATTAAGAAGAACACACTGGCAAGTGATCACTAACATCACGTAATTCACAAAGCATCTTTCACAAACTTAAGTACTTTATTCCACTGGATCACCCAAAGACCCAGAAGAAACCTCTGGAACCTGCAGATGAGCTATCATCCTGCTTCCATGTTACCAGCCTGAGCAAGCGCTCCTGCAAACCTACCACCAGGGCCATTCTCATTCTCCACCTGCTGGTTGCCATCTACTTCACCATCTCACTAGAGCAATTTCAATTAGGGCTGGACACTGGGTCTAACTGCTTTATTTATCTCAGCTCCATTGACTTCGTAGTTCTAAGTTTTAGAATAGTTAGAAAATTTATTGCTTCTCAGCCTTTTGGCTAAGAAGGGTAGAATATTTACAGAAGTGTCTTTTTTCATTATTGTTTTGTTTTGTTTTTTGAGACAGGGTCTCAAATACTGTGATTCTTCTGCCTCAGCCTCCGAGTGCTGGCATTATAGGCATGCACCACCAGGCCTGATGAGAACTGGCTTTAAAGTAGCACATATCTGTGTACTTGCAGCATGAACCCAACTTTCACATGACTGCTGATACTTGTACTTTGCTGACCTCTGTACCACGGCTGCCACCTGTCACACTGCGGCTGCTCGTGAGTCAGCCTTCACTGGACTGGATTCTCTGAGAACACGGGTGAGAAACAATCCCTGACATGCACAGTAAATGCTAAACAAATGGGTTTCTTCTTTCTGGAATCAGATTTTTAACTATTTTATAATGCCTCTCTCAGTTACTTCTAGGTATCTGACTTGCAGTCAAAGATAAATTTCTTATATATGGATTAAGGATAGCAAGTTAGTAAAACTTTTTAGAATAACATTTTATTCTGATTATAAAAAACTATTCATTATAGAAAATATGGAAAATACTAGATATTAAAACTACTGTGATTTAACCTTCTGTCATTTCTGTTATTTTTTGGGGTAGTGTGTTGTGGGGGATTTGGGAATTTTCCATAGTTCAAATCATGCCACGTATATGGTGCTACCCATTTCCCCCCACCTAATCTTATTTTGTAAACATTTTTTCATGTCAGTAAAACTGACCGTAAACACCACGTTAAAGTCTGTATTATACGCTTTTCTAATACCGAATTCTAAGATGCATATATTTTCACATTTTAACTTCACTTACTTTTTATTTATTCATTTACTCACTTACTTGAGATATAGCCTCACTCTGTAGGCCAAGCTTTCCTCAAACTCACTATGTAGCCCAGGCTGGCCCCAAACTAGTGATCTACTTGCCTCAGCCTCCCAAGTGTTGAAATTGCAGGCATGCACCACCATACCTGCCTTACTTTGCCTACCTTACTTATCTTTCTCTCACCATCGACAGTCTTCCAATTATTTCAGCCAAGAGGTATTCTGATGTGGTTGTACGCAAATCACACAACCCCACTCCAGGTAAGATCGAGAGAGTGGCAGCATCCTCCCCTCTGAGGAGTATTTCCCCAGCTGGTGTTTAACCTCAGGAGCGTTCTCCTACTCCAAGGAAAAGCTCTTGGGCTACTTTCTGTCTCCTTGGTGACTAGAAAGTCTGCTTATGGAATGCAAGCAATTCATCTCAATACTATTTTATAAATTCAAAGGGTGGGAAGAGATTTCAAAGCAAGATACAAAGAATTCTGGGTTATCTGTGCCGCAACCTGACATCAAAGACATATATACACAGAACCTGCCTCTAGTTTTGGATGTGCTACTCAGAAAGGGTGCAAAAACAAGAACCCAGGCCACTTACCAGGTTGGGGTCATAGTATGCTTCCTGAGTAGGTGGAATAGTGTTTAGCTGAGTGATATTAGCAGGAAGCATTTTTGAACAATTTATTAACATGTGTTCCAGACCTGTTAAATCCTAACAAAGCAAAATAAAAATATAAACCTGTTATGTATATGATAGGTAATGGTTATGCTCTTAAAAATAAAAATTATGTAAAAAGTTTCCAAAAATGGCTTACATGCTAGCTTCAAAGAGAGTTTGACTATATGACTCTTAAGTATAAAGACCTCCTAAAAAGAGCAGAATGAGAAAATTTGACCACAAATACAACATAGTGGCCTGTGGAACACCCACTTTACATGAGATAGTCCAGGGGCTCACAAGAAGGGACGCTCTGCAGCTTGATTTATCTTAGCATCTTCACTAGCAAGTTTCCTACACCTGGGGCTGGAGGATGCACTGATAGAGACACCTGGTTCAACTCTCCACCTGAAGACCCAGAATGAACTTGCCACAAGAATCTTCTATGCAGGTACCTACTGTCTGGTTCTTCCTCAGATAACAGAAAAACTAATTCCTACTGAAACTTATGAAAGGTAATCTCTTAAGATACAAACTTCAAATCTGACTTTAATTCTGGCACTAAAAATGGACTAGTTACAACACCATCCACATTAAATGTTAAGAATTACTTTGAGAAATGAACCAAGCCTTATATGCACATATGAATAATAAAAGAAAAATGAAAAAAAAAATTTAAAAAAAAAAGAATTACTTTTACTTGCATTAAAGTGGAGTACGTAGCAGAAAAAGCAATGTCAGAAATACAATCTTCATTTAAAGTATCACGAAGTTACATTAAAACAAAACAACACCTGTAAACTTAAAGGCAGGTCGTGAATTCTGGTAGCCAGTGTTCGAATTTCCCTGTCGGACAAGACACCAGACTGATCTGTATCAACTTCGTCAAAGACTTGAGATATATTCAGTGGCTGAAGTGCGCTCATAAGATAATAAAAATAAGAGAAGGCAAACTGCATGTCCTCAGAATGGCGCACTTTATGAAATGACGTCTTGTCAAATTCTTCAGGGAACCTGGCCAAACATAACATATGATGAGTTCTGGATAGTAAAAATATATACAGTATTAAACGTTTGTGAACTTAGAACTTCTTTTCTTCTCACTTTCGAAAGTTATCTGTAATAATATCAGTCATCAATTTTAGCACAGCAAATAATGCAAATTTCAGGCAGCTTTAGCTCTGCATACAAGCAAGCGACTCAGACACAAACAGGACTTACATATCTTGCAGTTCTTGCATAACAATTCGGTCAATCATGTGAGGCATGTGTGCAGGGACTTTCCGAGACGTGAATCCAAACTTGCTGTTTAGAATTTTATTTACATATCTCAGTGAATCTGCAAATGTATCTTTTAGTTGCCTCCCGGTATGTTTGCTGTCAGTAAAATATGCCAACTGTGTCTTCAATGATTCTTCTTCCTGAAAGGAGAATGCACGTAATTCAGCAATATGTTAGTGCAAAGTGAACTTTCTTAACACGAGATAAGGTACTGTGATATATAATGTGGTAATAACTAGTCACCAAATGTCCACAAGAGGCAAAGAACATGCATGATACCATGCGTTAAAGACCACATGAGCAGGACTAAAGTGCATTTCAGTGCACTGAAATCACCAATATTGGCTTGAGAACAATAGTTGTGTGGCGGAGATCTATTTGCAGCGTACTCTTCCAGAACTAGTCACTAGTCAGGCGCCGGTGGCTCACACCTGTAATCCTAACTACTCAAGAGGCAGAGATCAGGAGAATTGCGGATGGAAGCCAGCAAAAAGTTTACAAGACCCTATCTCAAAAAACCCATCACAAAAAAAAGATCTGGAGGAGTGGCTCAAGTGGTAAGAGCACTTGCCTAGTAAGGGTGAGGCTCTGAGTTGAAACCCCAATGCCATCACAAAAAAAAAAACAAAAACAAAAACAAAAAACTATGATACAATAGTCACTGACTAAGATTTTAAAACCAATTCAATGCAACTTAGAAAATTTATTTCCATAAGTTTGATAGACTTCCATATTAAGCTAGTTCTGCTTGTGACATCAAAGTGGCAAATACTTGAGTTTTGAGCACGAGGACTAGAAACAAATCTGATTTCACCATACAATAGTGTTAATGTTAGAGTCAAAGCCACTAGAAGGCACAACTAAATGGACAAAGAAATTTGACAAAGAATCTGAACACACTTAGCAGGAGAGGAAATACTTTTGCTTCCCACACAGACTAACATGTGAAGCTGACATTAACTGGTGTTGGTTAACCACTATTGGTCAGCCTGTGGAGCAGCAAGCATTCCTGCTCACTGCATGTGGGAGTGTGAAGTGGAGCCACGCTTTAGAAGGACATATCCACCAGATAGACCCAACCTAAGGAAAGAAAAATTTCATCTAGTGTAAGATACATGTACAAGAATATTTGTTTTAATGCTAGTCATAATTGCTAAACATTGGAAGTAATGTGCAGCACTTAGGAAGAGCAATGGCACTGACAAGAGTAGTTTACCTATATACTACTAAATCAAAAGGCAACCACAGGGAAATACATGTACAGTATAATTTCACTGTTACAGAACAGAAACTATATAGCTTATATTTTATGTAATTATAGGAAAATACTAGGAAAAGTGGTTATTTTACGAAGGGATACTGGGGAAGAAGACCTTCCCAATTTTTTAAGGTTTTTTTTTTTTACAATTTCTATAGTAGTGCTTTTGTAATTTTTTTAAAAGGAAAGAAAAGGTGGAAAAGTGTAGAAATTAACATAGGCAAGAACTCCGCAGTCCTTCACTCAACAATAGTTAATGTCTAAAGAGCCAGGCACAAGATACTTCCCGAAAACACCTAGAGGAACAAGACATGGTTCCCCTTTCACCCTTTTCCTCCCAGCCCAACATGTACCAGTGGCTGTGCTTCTTCACTATCCAGCCTAGACATGTGACTATTCTTGATCTGTCAACTCTGACCTTGTCCAGGGTCAGCTCAGAGGACACTTCCTCATGGATGCCTTCCCCAATGCCTCTGGCAGAGCCTAGGCGCCCTCCCAATGGACTCCTTGCCTGTTCTTCAGCAGAGCCCCTTATTTCATGGCTCTAACTATCTTTCCACAAACCTGTCACCCCTACAAGTTTGAGTCTCCATGGGTGGCAACTGTGTTCTGGTTGTCTTGCATTCCCCAGCACTGAATAGTGACAGCACTTGGGAGAAACACAAATGACACCACAACAAGATGGAGGCCATGCCTGGCAAAGGAAGAGCGCTCCAACTTTGTGGTTTGGCTTCCACTGACTTGCTGTGGTGAACCTGGGAATGCTAACAAGCTTATCTGAACCTCGGGTTGTTTTCAACAATAAAGCTGGAAAATCATCAGATCTGACATGCTAAGGAGACATAAGATGCCTCCATTCTCCAACTTCCTCAGGTTCGCTCCTGGCTAAATCCCTTACTCACACGGGCTGTTTTCTCAACTGTAAAATGAGGATAACACCAGTAAACACTCTCATATGGTACTTTTATTATTAGGATTATTGGTGAAGTTAAATGAAATCATGTAAGAAAATCACGTAAGCTTGGCACTGGTGGCTCACACCTGTAATTCTAGCTACTCAGGAGGCAGGGATCAGGAGGATCGCGGTCAAAGTCAGCCTGGGCAAATAGTTCTTGCGATCCTATCTCAAAAAAAAATCCATCACAAAAAAAGGGCTGGCGGAGTCGCTTGAGAAGTAGGCCTTGAATTCAAAACCCAATGCCACAAAAAAAAAAAAAAAAGAAAGAAAATCACTTAATTCAGTATTCAGTGGCTGGCACAGGGAAGTGCTGAATAAATGATAGCTATTATTATATCCACTTATAAAGTTACTTATTTCTCCAGAGCAGGACAAAGAATAAGGCTGGATTTAACTTACATCAAGAAGATCTTGGAAGTATTTTTTCTTCTCCCATGGCAAAAAGCCTAGGTAACTTCCTGTGTAATGCTGCAGCTTTCTTCCGGGTAATACTTCATTAATACCTGTGTGATCTTTAGCATTTTCCTCCATTCTGTTTTTCTCTTCTTCTTTCCCTGTGAGCTTTTCTTTTGCCTCATGGTTCTCAGGTGGAATAATCAGAGATGAGAGCTTTTCTTTGGACATACTCCCACCTACTATACTTTGGTTCTGAGTCTCCAATTTTAATCTTGCTTTGGTCTCCAAGACCATGGGTGGGTTCTGATCCTGGGAGTTACCATTCACATTTACTTTCCTTACTGGTAAAGTTGATTTCTGTAATCTTTGAGAAGCTCCTAAACTGTCTCCAATTTTGGAAACCAAATTTTCTGATAGGGCCTGCAAATTAGTACTCATTTCACCTGTTATGATGATAGCTTGATTCTTTACTTTACTATCCTGTAAGTTCATCAGAAATGACCTCAACAAGGCTGACTTGGAAAAGTTGTAGCCTTTCAAAGTGATGTCCCCACGTTCCAGTTGCAAGTCCAAGTTGTGAAGACTCAACTGGGTCTCTTTTGGAAGGAGTGAAATATTGACCACAGGAATTTTCATCTCCTCTTGGAATCTCCCTGTTGTGTTAACATTGTGTCTCTTGACCTTTGGGAAGCGTTTTTCTTCTGGAACATCCTCAAAAAGGATTTCTGCCTCTGGAAGAACTGTTGTGGGGCCAACCAAATTTTCGTAAGACTTCTGGGTTGTAGAATTCAGTTTTGGTCCTTCCCTTGTGTCCACGTCTACTGTTATCTGGATTTTGAATTCTTCATCATTTGTACTTTGAAATGTGAGATTAAACTGTATTGTGGTTGCGTTCATTCCACTATGCATTATGAGGTGGATGGTTTTCCACTTATTGGCAATAGAAGCGTGTCGAATTATTGGGTTGTCACTGTAGGCACCTTCAACTCCTCTTTTGGCTATTTTTGCAAAACTGAAATAAGGCAGGTGTTCACCCTTTGGGATAACATAGTGAGTCTGGTTTGGGAGAAGAGTTACTTTATACATTTCATGAAAATGATCTAGAAAAAAAAAACCACAAATGTGAGTTACTTTAGGCAGGAGTCTTACCACTTGAGCCACTCCACCAGCCCTCGTGATTTATTCTAAGTGAGGCATTTTAACTCCATTTTCTTTTAATTCTTTGGCTTTGAGTTTTTACTTTCTAAGGATGATTTTCAATTCTAATATAATAGCTTCAGGAATATGGCTCATTTCACTGCCTACAGTAGTAATAGTAATTTACACGGACTGCTAACTGACCAAGCATAGAGATATGGCCTGATTCATAACAATAAATTATAAATATCAATTTCCATGTCATTTCATCCATTAGTTAAAACAAAAAATTTGGCCAGAAATGACCTCTATTAATAAACTATCAAAAAAATCCAGTTTTTCAAAGCATCCTTATTTAGTGAATCACTGATCTCCTTTTATTGCTTCAAATTAAACCTCATCTCATATTTTCAGCGAAGGTAAGTCTGTTTAGTACAAAAGAATCAGATAGGAGCAATAATAGGAAAAGATATTTCAAAAGTGTCTACTATTTTTCCAAAGTATCTGCGTCTTTTCCTTATTTTTAAATTACGATTAGTTTAATAACAAGGCTAAAAGAGAGAAAGATGGAGAATAATTACTTCAAATAATAGCTCCTCTACTTGTCAAGGATTTCCCCTTTATTTATAATATGTTTTTATGGCAATAAATATACCTTGCCCACAGTCACCAGCATCAAACCCACAAGACAAAACATTGCAGGCTTGGTCACAGAACTTATCGGCAAGCCAGGAATTTGCACATCCTTGATTACAGTAGGAGACACTATTTATTCCTCCACCAAACTGCCAGGGCTGTCCAACTCCAATACTACCAGTACCCCCGCCTCCTACAACATAGCGACTCCCTCCACTGTTACCTGTAAAAAAAAGAAGAAGACATAAACTTGCTGGGCTTATTATTTTGAAAGAAGACAGAGTTCTTCATTTCTTACTAAAGTTTGCAAGACTGATGCATGAACTGCAGTCAGAAAAGGTTCCTCCCTATCTTTACTAAAAGGTTCCATGTATCTTAAGAAGAAACTGAAAAGGGAGCATCACTTGTCCGTATGCTAAGACTCAAATCTGGAGGGTGGTGTAGTAGAGTGGTTGTGGTGGTGGTGGTAGTAAGGATTAAGAAAGGTAGGGTGAAATAAGGGAACAGGAAGAGATTATTTCAAGGACTGGGCTAGAAGCATTGCTCAAGTGGTAGAGCACCTGCCTATCAAAGACTGTGACTATCAAAACTGCCAAAATATGTCTGAACATGGGACTGACCTATCGCTCTCAAATATTAATATTCTACTAGTTGCTGAGTCTCTTGTCTGCACACATCTACTTCATACACCTTTGTTATCTCCCTGCAGTTACTTGTATTTTATAAAAGTGTACCTGGCAGATCTGACTGAAACACAACTTGAATGTTTGTTTCCTCTAATTTTAACACACTTCCAATCTATTTCCTCATATGGAACATGTGAATGATAATATCTGTGTGCACATACTCTCTTTCTTGGGGAGAAAAAATTCAAATGGGTAATGAATAATGCTCTATAACTTAGTGCTTTACAAATTGAAATACAGTAAGTAAATGTAAAATTCTGCTATTATCAACAAATCCAAATATGAGAATGTGAGAAGGGGAAAAGAGGTGCTCAGGAGATAAGACAGTTACTTTTTCTGCATCTGTTTGGTCATTCCATAAGCTATTACCAGCCATAAATTCCTATAAGAACCACTTAAAGTTATTCTTGCTCTTGGGTTTGTGTAATTAAGAGTATTCTACATTTTCGTATTTCAAAGTCAGAAGAGGCATTTTCAAATGCAGTTAATATGTGAAAATGCCTTCAACAATGAATAATATGAATAAACTGGCCACAAGGAAACACTGATACCACTTCCCAAGTCTATGGATTCCTGATTATTTCAATACCTGGTTTAGTTAAGGTGAGAGTACATAGTCAATGAATGAGAACAATCCATGAACATGAACAAATCACATTTTAACACATCCTTACCAGAGCAATCACCACCATCCCAATCACAGGCGGAATTATTACAAGCCTTGTCACAATAGCCATCTTTAATCCAGGAGCCAGGGCAGCCCTCTGCACAGTTTGGCACAGGCCATGTCAAGTAAACCTACCATAAAGCCAAAGAGAAAACACAATGATTTCTCACACTTCTACACTTAAATTAAAATTTCTTTAAAAAAAGAAACTGAGCCCTTATAAAGGCCAAAGTTTTCCAAGGGCTATCTACAGTCATGTTTGCTCTAAGTTGGACTGTGCCCACACAGCTTACAGATTCTTGCTAGTTGTCTGTGCTGAGCACATGTGCTCTTTACCATTACTTACAAAAAGCAGACAAGAACTCAACTCAGATTAGTTTCTTACAACATGCTCATAATCTACTTTGAAATGAAGTAGCAACATGTCAGACTCACACTTGAGGACAAAATTATCTCAAAGTGGGTGGGCAGTATGCCACAATCACAGCTTGTCTGTGACAACTCACAATAACTTCCAAGTGTGTTTTTTTTATGCATAAGCTAGTGTCAAGGCTAAGAGAAGGAACAGGTGAACTCTCAGTAGCCTTTACCTCCCATGCATAAGGCTCTGTGATAAATTCATCAGCACAGCATCCTGAGCTCCCTAAATTAGGTCTTGTACATGGCACTTTTTAAAATTAAAATCACTAAAAATAAATATGCTCTCCTCTTTTAAAGTCTCTGTGCCTTTGTTCATTCCATCTATTTTGAATGTCTTTCTTTACCTCAACTGAAGCTTACTTGTTTTTCAAAAAACCCATCAATCTTCCTATCCCACCTGATTTAAACCATCAGTGCTCATACTCCTCAGCACAAGGCACACTGGTCAGCATGAAAACCATACACGTTATTTACTTTGTGTTTGTCCCTGTTAAGTCACAAGCTCAACTTCCCAGCCCTATAGTCTAACAGAGAAGAGGCAAGTGAGCAGGGAGCACGAGAATGAGCCCAGTGAGATGGCATAAGCACTAGTGAGTGATGTCCTGCTGTTAGCGCATACTGCTGCAGTTTTGTAAGCTCAGGATGAAAAGTCTCCAACTGGTCACTAAATCCTTTCATTAACAGTAGCTGGGTATTTGTACTTTTTTTTTGCTCAGGGCCTACACTTCAAGCCACGCCACCAGCACATTTTCTGTGATGGGTTTTTCAAGATAGGATCTCTCGAACTATTTGCTCAGGCTGGCTTTGAACCACAATCCTCCTGATCTTTGCCTCCTGAGTAGCTAGGATTACAGGCGTGCCCAGCTGGGTATTTGTATTTTTCCCACCATACAGACTGAAAACACAGGGGTCATGTCATTGCCCAGGGTTGTGCTAAAGAGCTGCTCCAGCACCTGTACTCTTAAGCACCTCTCCATTGGCCTCTCTGCAAAGTGTAAACATGAGAAGCTGCCTTATGTAAAACTACATTCATACCTTTCTATGTTGGTCATTTTGCTGACACCCTAACTACAATTTTGTTGCAGTGATTTTGCTGTAATAGAAAATGTAAAGGATCAGGAAAAAGGGCTGGATTCTGGGTTTCTGAGAATGTAGGGAAGCATATTTCCTATTGTACTGTTCTTACTGTTCAATTGCTGACTCTCCAGAGCTTAGCACTCAGAAGCACTTATTTAATACTTGAATATAGAAGCTTATACACTATTTCTTATTTGCTAGTGACTTACAAACTTGGCATCCCCTACTCTTAGGTACTCACCTTCTGACCTTTGGAGTGACTGTAAAAATCATCTGGCCAGACATCCTTCCCAAACATGACATCATCATTTAGGTAAATAAACTTCTGTGACAGACCTTCAATGCGATGGATGTGACTTTCAATAGCAGGTGAACTAAAAGTAGGCAAGTGGCTCAAATTTCGAAAAACATCCTTTTAAAAGAAAAAAAATAAACACACAAGAGAGAGAAAGAGGACAAATGAGAGTTGTTCTGGTTTGATTTGGGTTTTAGAAAAAAACAGAAGGGTTTAAAAAAAGAAGAGTGAACACGGAGGTAAGAAGGGTAAGGGGAATCAAAGTATGAGATCCCTGTACCACATTAAAAGAACGGATAGGAAACCACAGACTTTTCATAGTTGGAAAGCCATGTACCTGGTGTGTTACTATTGTCACTCGAGGATTGTCAAGATTCAGCCAGGATGGAATCTGCCCATTGGTGACGATGAAAATATTCCGAACCCATGGTGCATGCCTCTCAATAGATCGCAACGAGTATCTCAGCTCTTCATTGTCTTCAAAACGGCTGGCAGAAACGTCTTCATCTTGCTTGGACTGGGAGAAACATGGACACATAAAGACGTGAGTATCTTTAAGTCTAGCTTCCTCCAACTTGTCTTTCCCTTCTACCCTCTCTGGTCTCAGGGTGCTCTGGCTGACTTTCAAAGATGCAGTCCTAATTTAAGCATCACAAAAAATGCAAAAGATTCAGATGTTAAAAAAAACCCTCAGAAATACAGCATTTCTTTGTCATAGTTTACAAAAAGGTTCTTAAATTCTTGCTTGTTTCAATTAATATTAAACTACCGGCAGTGACTGGAAATTTAGAAAAGTTCCAATCAAATCACTTCTCTTTTAAGTCTTCTTCCGTCTCTTAACATACTGCTTGTAAATCCTTAATCTGAGTTATAAAAGAATCTCTTCTTCCCTTACCTGGCTGATGGCACTCAGGTCCCACAATAAGTATGCAGGACTTATGGTCAGTTCTTTTCCATCGATGGTCATATTCTTCTTAGTTTGCTTATTCAGTTCTTGGAAATCTTTGGGGTTATTCAATTTTAGAAGGGCTACACTGGCCTCGGAATACAACTGCAACTATCAAATAACAAGACAGTTACATGGAAAAACTGATCTTCAAGAAGAAACATCTTTTAACTCACAGCTTTACATTTAATCTTGAAACAGAAAGACTGTATCACCAAAAGAAAAAGATCAAACAGGCTAGATGCATTTCCCAGACGAATGCAACAAACTAGGTGTTAAGAAACAAGAAGGGATGGAGGACATGGTATGAACAGGAAACTTCAGGCTCCATCTGAAAACTGAGCCACTACTCAATGCCACCTGGGCTGCCAAGAGACCAGAATCCCCCACTCTTAAATGAAATCTCCCCAACCTTTCCATACCAGCTCAAATGTTATTGACTGTTCTTCATTTGAACAAAATCACATGTGCTGGCCAACAGTTTTTGACTTTTATTCTAGCATACTACCAATCTTCTTATACTGGGGGAAAGGCCTTGCAATGTTACTGGAATTGGTGACTTGCATCTGCCAATGAGTGTCTGATCAGTTTCCTGCTTCATGTCTGGACAGTGTTACCGGCACACCAGCCTAAAGAGCTTTTGTAGGAAAACTAACTTCTGGGTCAAAGCTTTTGGAGTAATCATATAAACCTAAGAGGAGACACTGTAAACAGCAACAAGTTTTACAAATAGGCTTGTCCATCCCATCAGTGTCCTTCGTTTGTTTTATGTTTTGACTCCGTAGCATACAATTTCCTATGACAAGAAGCTTTCAGATCAGAAAATGGGGAAGGTGAAAAATCACTAATCTACGCCAGCAAAATCCTTCTACTCTTCTGACAGAGCCGATGGCTTTCTTTCTTAATTTACAAAACAGAAGCAAACACAAACTATTATGGGCTCTGAACTCTGTATCTGCTACAAGACTATATTTAGTGTGTTTTCTAAGCATTTGCCTGAGTTGCAGATGCCAAGAAAGGAGATGTTGAAGTTAGAATGCTATCCCCACTCTTTTTGTTGTATACGCTGCTAACTCTTAGCATCAACTGCGTGCAGGTGTACACATGCCCACCTGTGTACCACCTTCTTAATTACCTTTTTTTTTTTTTTAACCATGACAGTACCTGACTTGAGTTAAGCACTCAGGGGAGACAGTTCTCACTACTGTCAATACCTGTATCAGTGTGTGTGGTGGGGGTCCAGAAGCAGCTGCCTGGGTGCCTGCCCATCCCCCAGTCTCTTCATCCCTTTCTTTCCACTCCCCATAGCACCTCTGGGGACTCCCTGGAGAAAATCGCTCCTCTAAATAAGTACCTGTAGTAATTTAATATTCTAACTTAATTTTCAATTTATTATGAGGAAAATAGCATTATTTTTATTTCTTCTATTCAAATATGCTCTTTTTAATTGTTGTTTTGGTGGTACTGGGTTTGAACTAAGGGCTTCATACTTGCCAGGCAGGCACTATACTGCTGGAGTCATACCTTCAGTCTCTAAATTGCTTTTATCACAGAAAATTATTTTGAAACTTCACAGACATTCTCAAATTTCACAGGTTTTTATACATTTTAGATAAATTTAAATCTAGGTCAGGATCTGAGGTTAGTATGTTTCTGAGCTATAACAGCACATCCAACCTTGATCTTTGAGTTCCAACTCATAGCAAATGTCATTTATTGTTGGAAATCGATTTATGACAGCATTTTTTGTTTTGCTTTGATTTTTGCCTAGGCACTATTCATTAGGAGCATCAATTTCACAGAAGGTACAACAAATTAGAGCGAAAAATTAATGAAATTGAACTACCTTAACACTTTTCATTTTAACTTGGCAACGGAATACCGTTTCTACTTCAGTTTCTGCCACTGCTGGCTGTGTACTGGTGCAGACCTTGCCCTGGGTGGTTAGCAAGTCCCAGAGCTGAAGGGTCACACTCAGATCTGTGAGGTTCTGAAACCTGAATGTGTCATTTCCTGGGGCTTCTGCTGGTAGGCAACCCTAGCCTGTGAGATGCACTGAGATGGATAGTAGCTAACCAGACACTTAGCACCACATGTGGCAGGTGCCACTGGGCCTGCAAGAGCCATGCAGCTTGCAGGGGTGAGGGAGATACTGCTGGAGGAGCTGCTGGCTGGGCTGAGCTTCAGAAGTCAAACCTGGCCCTTCTGATACCAAGGAAAGTGAACTTCAGAGGATCATGATTCAAGGCCAGAGTGAGCAAACAGCTTGAGAGACCCCCATCTCCAAAATAATGAGAGCAAAATGGACTGGAGGCATGGCTCAAGCCGTAGAGCACTGCTTTGCAAGCATGAAGACCTGAGTTCAAACCCCAGCCTCACCAAAAACAAATAAACTTGCTGGAGAGAATCAGGAGTCAGGCTCTCACTAGATCTTAGGTGCTGCTTTTTACTGCCTTCTTCTACAGACAGGCTCTTAGGTCATCCCAAAGAAGCCTGGTTAACTACACCTGAAACACTGGGGGTTTCCATTTTAGACAAAGAAGGCAAAACAAAACACAATCTTGTTTCAATGTTTACCATTAAGGTATGAAGAAAAACTTTAAAAAGAAAGAACTCTCCAATGCCTGATAAAAGAGGAAAAGAGGGCTGGGAGTGTAGCACCATGGTTGATCACCACTGTCTCTCATGTGTGAGGCCCTGGGTTCTATCCCAGCACTAAAGAAAAAAGAAGAGAACAGAAAAGAGAAGAGAAGAGAAAGTTTAATTATAAAAGGGACAGTAGGTTCGAAATTATGAAGGGGACTTCAGAATTCCAAAAACAGACTCAGAGATTCATGGAATTATTTTAAATTACATCTTTTATTTCATAACTTATATTGGCCTTTTCACTGATAAAAAGTATAGCACTAAAACTCTCCTATTAGCAACTGTGCCTATGGCTGGTTTCTTTACATATGCATCAAAAACAAGGCAGAGATTTTCCTTGTAAGGAAAGTGGAAGACATTATAATAAGTGGAAAAGATATGAAAAGTAAGGTGCTTAAGGGAATAGTTATTTGTATAAGAAAGATTTTCTGCCACTGTAATCAACCAACTTTAAGTGGTGAAAAAAGGAAAGTGTTCTCTGCCAGCCTCACTAGGTGGCAGCCCAATCCTGCACATCTTCATTACTTTTGCCAGAATAGGGGGGACAGGAAGTGGTAAGGCTGAATGGTGTAGTTTCTCCAATTGTGGGCAACTGCCTCCTCCAAAGATAGCTGCTTACTTTAAATTGTAAGTCTATCAAAATCTTCAAATTATAAGTTTCTCAAAGAGAAAGCCACCTCCACATCTACTCCCTGCAGACCCACAATGGACATGCAGTATGACTAAGAAATAAAGCTGTTATTTTTAAGGAAATGAGATTTCAGAATGTTTGTTATTGTAACATCATCTAGAACAACAGGAAGGACAGATCTGTGTGGGTAGTGAGAGGGGATGGAGGACAGAGAGGGGTATATCACATGGTGGTCAAGGACAGGACCTAGGTGAGCTATAGTAACTGAGCCTCAGATGGGTGAATGTGTCCGTGAAGGACAATACAGATGATAATTAGGACAAGCAGTGCTGTAGAAACCCAGAGACAAAAATACTGCCAGGAAGACAAATTTAAGTTCTAATATATTTCAAAGATAAACAGGCTTCAAAATTAGAGGACAAGAAATCAGTGGGTCTGTCAATTACTTGTAACACAGACTGGGTTCCGCAGAGTGACGGACATGGAAACCATACTCCAAGGATGTGACACTGCAGTATGCTGTGTGGAAATACTTGAACTAAGCCTTAAACTTTATATTGTATCTACTGTATGGAATTGGACAGAGAAGGATAAACAGCCTTAGGGTATTTTTTTCACAAATCTAAGAATTATACTGACTAAATCAAATCATAAGGTGTAAAGATTTAAAAAGTAGTGTAAGTAATCTTCACTTGTCAATTCTACAGGTGATGACTGACTATCAAGGCAAGATTAGAGCACACTAATGTAAAATACATAGGATCACTTAAAAATAAAAATACTGCCTATCGTGAGAGTGCTCTAATCATATAGCTCCACTGTTCTCAGCACAGTGCCTTACATCTAAAAACTGGCTTATGAGGCTGGGGATGTAGCTCAGCGGTGGTGCTTGCCTAGCAATTTAGCACACGTGAGGCCCTAGTTCTATCCCCAGCACTGAGGAAAAACAACAACAACAAAAAAGGTTTAAAAAACAGTAACAACCTAAGTATGGATACATGTTTTTGATTTGGGTTATCTGCATATACACAATGGAGCTATCTTGGGGATGGGATCCAAGTCTAAGCATGAAATTCATTTATGTTAAAACACTACTTATCCATATAGCCTGAAGGTAATTTTTTAATTTTTAACAATTTTGCTCATGAAACAAAGTTTCATATGAGGTAGATATGGAATTTCCCACTAGTACTGCAAAAAGGTTTGGATTTTGGAGCATTTTGAATTTTTGTATTAGGGATGTTCAACTTGTAGCATAATTTTTAGTAACTTTAAGCAGGTCCTGAACATAACTGATGGGGGCAGAGTCCAGAGCTTCACAATGCAGTTCCCACCTGCCTGCACCATCATTTCTGCCTAAAGAAACAACCTGTCCAATCTTCAAGGATCTCTTTCAAAACTTCTTTCAGGTCCCTGATTCACACAGACCTTTCCTGCCTCTCCATTGCAACTCTAAGTTTGTACCAGTCTCCTCAATAGCTACTCCTATATGATCCTTGCTTTATACCCAAAAGCTTCGTAATTCATACACTGCTTCAAAACGTGATAAAAATACTCAAGGACAGGTCTCTACCCTCTCTTTTGCACACTCACTCAGCACTCACGAACACTGAATTATACCCAATGTGACAATTTACTTGAGAGCTTTGAGAAGATTTCTCATGTGCTCTCACATGTTAGAGAACAAAAACAGAAATCAAAAATAAATTGAAAAAGCTCAACTATGAATAAAAATGTCTGAAAACACAATTTTAGAGTGACTTGAAAATATTACCTGATTTATCAAAAAGGCAATTCCTGTGTCTGTCACATACAAAAATTCTTCCAATAAATTACTAACTAATCAGATCATGAAAGGCTCACCTCAAGGCACCTCAAACTAGAAAGTCTCTGATAGAAAAGACTGATATATGAGTCAACACAAAAGTTTTTATGAACTCAAACCCATTATCTTACAAATGAAAGCATTTTTAAGCCTCACATCCTCTCCTTGGGAGAAAAACATGCAGTTTTCCTCTAAGCAAAGCATATAAAGGTAAAGTTGTGTGTATACAACAGCTTGATCTAAAGGCACAGGTACCAAAACCTGGCGTGGCATGTCCTTAAAAGATCCCCCTTTATGAAGCCAGGTGCCAGTGGCTCATGCCTGTAATCCTAGCTATCAGAAGGCAGAGATCAGGAGGATTGTGGTTCAAGGCCAGCCCAGGCAAATAGTTCCCGAGACCCTATCTTGAAAAAACCTATCACAAAAAAAAGGCTGGTGGAGTGGCTCAAGGTAAAGGCCCTGAATTCAAACCCCAGTCCACACACAAAAAAATTAAGATCCCCCTTTATATTCCAAGGTGCTGCATATGGTGGTATGGTTGTAGTCACAGCGTTCTTCTTACTCATTCCTTCCACAAGCGCCAGGTCACCATCTGTGTGGTGGTGTACCAGTGAGTGGGAAAGTGTCTGTCCTGAGATACTCATGGCAGAACAAACCCTGAGTGGCATAGGCTTTGGCAAAGGCCTCCTGGAGGAGCCAGGAAGGATGAGGCAGTCCAGCTGTTCAGGTCCTGAAGACTATCACCCAGTAGCCTCCCTCCTACATGCTGCATGTCCCTGTGGCACGCAACCCCAAACAGAGCTCCAAGTTTCCACCCAAAATTCTGCTTCTCCACTGTAGCACAGTGTGTGGTTAATGCCATCACTTCCATCTTCACTAAAAATATCCACTTCCACTTTCATTCTTCTTCTCTCTCCCCTGTGGCTTATGTCCTCATGTGATGCTGAGTGTCTCAGATGATTGTGCAGCCATTCCCACTGAAGCTTCTACTGCCAAGGTCACTGAACAGGAATGTCTTACTGAGCTGTGGCACCTGTGCCTGAACAGGTTTTCCTGCCTCCAGCCCTTCCTGTCTAACACCTTCCACACCTGCCCCTACTATATTCCTAGAAAGAGACCACAGTGTGTCCATGTTCTGCTACTGACCCTCTCTGCCTCTGGGACAGGGTCCAGGCTTAGTGGAGGTCTTTCTGTCCTCCCTACCTCTCCACCATCATCCCCAGCAAAAACCAAGCCCACATTCTAGCCTCCAGGAGCTGCCTCTTGCCTCCCTGAAAACACTGCTTACTTCCAAGCCTCAACCCTCTGCTCAGGCTGTGTCCTCTGCTTGGAAGTGCTGCTTCATTCCCTCTCTCCCAGGAGACTGTTTCCTATTCTGCAAACCTGCTTCCCCCTACCATGTGCCTAAAAGCAAGGTGTTCTCTCAGCACTTTTATAAACTTGTATTTGGCACTGATCATGCCCCATAACTTAAGTGCTTTTATCCACTCAGTTATCCCTAGCATAGCCCCTGGCACACAGGAGGAATTTAATAAAAGCTCATTATCTAAATGGATTGGGAACCCATGACAGGACATTTCATTCTCAGAGGACCCACGATAAAATCTGGAAATAAGCCAAAGAGTCACTTGAAGCCAGGCATGATGGTTCATGTCTATAATCCCAGCTACTCAGGAGGCAGAGATCAGGAGGACCTGGGTTTGCCACCAGTCAGGGCAAAAAGTTACAGAGACCCCATCTAATCAATAAGCCACTTAGTGGTACGTGTCTGTGGTTCCAGCTACTGGGAGACAAAGATACCAGGATTGTGGTCTGAATCCAACCCTTGGCAAAAAATGTGAGATCCTACCTAAAAAATAACTAAAGCAAAAAAGGGCTGAAGATGAGGCTCAAGTTGTAGAGGGCTTGCCAAGCAAGTGCAAGGTCTTGAGTTAAAAAAAATAGTCACTTGAAGAACAGGGCTCAAATGCTTACACACTCACTCCTGTTCTTCTTTCTCAATCTCTCTAGCCTCCCCACACCATAAACCCTAGTCCCCAAAGGTGATCACAGGTGTTGGAATCAGGCAGGTGACCTGCAGTGAACATGATGGGAATGAGCAGGCCACTGAGAGGTGGCAACCTCCATAAATACAGGCTGGACATCCTGATGACTCCAGCGGGGAATAAAAGGTGGGAAGGGACTCTAACCATGCATGGAGCCCATTGGGACTCCTTGTCCAACTCAAGACCCCACTCTACCTCTATTGCACACCACACACAACACTCAAGAACTCTGCAGAAGATCCATCACTGCTCAGGACTGGCATCCTTTGGTAGCACACACCCTTCTATCAGCAGACACATCAAAAGCAATCAGTGCTGGAGAGTGGCTCTAGCAGGATGGGAGACATGGGCTAGACACACAGAACAGGGATGGAGAAGGGAATGAACCCCTTCTTTCTTTTAAAAAGAATTTATTGTAGTTGGGATTATATAAATAGAATGAAGAATGTCATTCTTTCTGCTGACAGTCAGAAGTACAATATACATGTGTCTATGGTTCTAGGACTAACAGCCATGAAGCCAATAGGTCAAATGAACTAAAAGAAAGCTATCTATGGTTTTATCTGCCCAAATAAGTACTAAAAATAATAATAAGTACTAAAAATAATGCTGGGGAAGGAGGAATAGAACATTTATTTTAGTAACTTCAGATTAAGAGCAAATTCGACCCTAATATAGCTGAGCCCACCGTACTTCAAAGTATAATAAAGAACACTATGGAGGAGAATATGAAAAAGAAAAAGCTCAGATGTCATTCACAGTGATCATGTGAACACAACAGCACAACGCATCTTAAACAGTGAGACATATATGGGGGGAAAAGGCTGTTAAAGGGAAGAACAGTGGGGTGTAAAAACCATCCACAAGGACTAAGTAAGAACTCCCTTAGTCACAGTCCCCACCCACTACCCCCACTTTCATCCTCCCACCCCAAACAGATAAATGGCACATAACATGGGGAAGAAGTAGCAATCAGGCAAGTTAAACCGAGCAGAATCCAAAAAGCAATTATTTGCAAAACCAGAGCCTGTCAACTTCTGAGCCAGAGCTTTATGCACTCTACTCCAAGAAAAGAGACATTCATGTTTTACAGTCTGAACTATTTCTGACTGTAGATGCAGGCATCTAGACATAAGGCCGACTAGGAAACAAGCCCACATGGACTGTGTCCTAAATCTATCAGACAAATGGCTCTGAAACCAACAAATGCTAAGGACAAGGCATGTCATAGGCCTCCTCCAAAGTCAACCCTAACACATGATACAGTCAGGCCTGAAGAGTGACTAAGCCTAAGTTCTAAAACATTAATGCCTCCATTAGTTATTAGTGACTGAGAGTTTTACATCATCAAATGTTCTAAGCATTTGATACACAGTCCCTTTATGAAAGAAAGCCTGTGTACTTACTACACTATGACTTTCCCCATCTCCTCCTCCCAGGCCTCCATTTCCTTACACCGAAAGTGCTCTCAGGGCTTTTGTCTGCTTTGTCCACCGTTGCATCCTCAGCAGCTATTACCTGACACATAGTAGGAGCTCCTCTTTTAAACAAATGAGTCCTGTTTCAATCTGGGAAATCAGAAAACCAAGTAAGACTCCTAAAGGTTTTCCCACATTAAGAATAAGGAGTAAGTGCCTTCCATAAAGAGCTACCTTTATGGTGGAATATTGTGACAGCACAGTCACTCTTTGCCTCTTATGACTGTTGGCTATACTCTGAACAAAATGGGCCACAAGAGAAGTGTCATACATTATATTAGATGTGCCATGCTGGTGGCTCTTGTTCCATGATCTTACCAGCTTTATTTTTGAAGAAAGATTTTCTGGCAATTTTGTTTTCAGTTGACTTGTTTCCTTGAATGTTGGTGGAAATCCACTCAGGAAAGCCAAATCTTGCATCAGCACTAACCCAGGAACTTCTTTATCTGTTGTCTAAAATAAGGGGAGGGGGAAGAAAAAACAACCTCAAGTCACTTTCACATCATGAGGCTGGTGAAAACTTTTAGCTGAGAATCTAGGAAAGATATACTGAATCACACAACTTTAAAATAAGAATGCCAATATTACCTCAGTCAGCACTCACTCACCCTAGCAAAAAAAAGGCGGTACATGTCTGTAATCTCAGCACTTAGTAGGTTGAGATAGGAGGATTGAGAGTTCAAGTCCAGCCTGGGCTACTCAAAACCATTTGAAAAAACCAGCTTTATTATTATTCCTACTTTTATTCTAATCAAAAGTATAATTGTACTTTTAATTGAATTTAAAATAACATACCAAGTAACCCCTCCAAACTGTCTGTTTGCTGTTTCCTTTAAACAGTCCAGTGTGGGCATCTTCAACTACAATGAAGAATAAAATAAACAAGCATATTTTAAACAAATATTTAAATGTGCTATTGTCATGACACTGTGCAAATCATCTTGAGAGCTATTAAAGTAGTATAATACATGACCTCAAAAAAAGTAGCTGGAGGAGACAAAATTAACACACTCAACAAAGAAGGAACAAGATAAATTAATATACAATTAAGCAATAAAATTTGCATCACCAAAAGAGATTTATGCAGGCAGCAGAACCATGGAATACTTTATGGTAAGTGGTCAAATACAGCTGAATCTCAAAGAAGGAAATGACAGGATGGCAGAAGTTGTCCATGTAAAAGTAAACACGGATATGGTTGAGAAACAAAGAGGACTGTTTGACTAGACTAAAACATTTGAGAATGAACATGTTAGCAAATAAGGGTATCCAGACAAAGGAGGTCCTGGAACACCAGAGGGCAGCATTTATGTAACCAGCAGGGAGCCCCTGCAGATCCCACCTTCTCCTAAGAGGTAATTTTCTCATAAGGAGCAACTGAAATTCATAAGGTGACGCTGAAGACTGCAGATTGGCAGGTGGGAAGGACGCAGCCCAACCTAGACAGAAATCTGAAGTGAAGGGCACACGCAAACAGTGAACCACCATAGGCTACTGACATCTAAGGACAGAGGAAAACAGGAGAGAGGTGAAGGGGCTCCAATTCTGCTCTTCAAAATAGGCAAAGAAGGTGGATTCTGCAAATTACAGACCAGGAAGATGGGTGGCAACCCTGGGCAAAAGTCTCAAGTATACTATACAAATATAAATGGCATAGAGCTGGGGATGTAGCTCAGTGTTGCAGCATATATAGAACCCTAGCTTAGAACACCAGCACCACAAAAGCCAGTGAGTGAGTTGGTAAGCACTGGAGAAAGGAAAGCTTTGAAACACACCATTTGTTTTTAGGAAGAAATGGCTATTAAGAGTATGAGTCCATTTCAAAAAAATTTATCTGATGGCTACCATGGCTTACACCAGGTACACAACCCAACCCCGTTACTTCTCTAGGCTCCTCTCTTGCCTCTCACCGTATTACTGTTTTCCAGCCACACTGGTCTCCTTGCTCCTCCTCAAACATGCTAGATACACCCCGCCTCAGGTCCCTTGCACTAGCCATTCTACTTCCCCAGATCACGCTTTCTGCAGATACTTATGTTGCTGGATTCCTCATTTTCTTCACATTTTCACTCAAAATCACCTTCTTGGTGAGGCTTGCTCCTACAACTCAATTTGGAATTTCTACCTCCTCAGTTTGACTGACAGTTCCTCTCCTGCTTTCCCTACTCAGTGTTTCAACAGTATTAATCTTCTATGAACTATACAATTTACTTTTGTGTGTTAATTTATTTATACATTGTGTGTAAACTCAAAGAGAGCAAAGACCATCATCCATCTGTGTGTTATTATATCTTTAGCACTGAGGAGGTATTTGGCATGGAGGAGGCACTTAATAAACAACTGCTGAATGAATAGGTCTGCTTGCCTTGCACATACAGAACTACATGAAATAGAACGCTCACTACAGTTGACAATTTTTTTTTTTGCAGTGCTTGGGAATGAACACAGGGTCTTGCACATGCTAGGTCATTGCTACCGCTGAGTTATGTCTGCAGCCCAGTGGACACATTTTAAAAGTAATCTGAGAAGAGCATTCTAGGATCAGCAGACCAAAAGTGAGAAACAAAAGGCCACATGAGGGAAGGATTACTGACATGTGACCACAGAGGGTACACTCTGACCTTTGGACTAAAGTTACGTGCAGCTGGGCTTGGTAGTACCTGCCTCTAATACCAGCACTAAGGAGGTTGAGGCAGGAGGACCTAAAGTTTGAGACCAGACTGGGTCTCAAAAAATAAAAAGAAAGTTATATGGAAGCAGTTTGCGGCTTCAGCTATTCCAGAGGCAAAATGAATTGCCACAGAAAGAAATAATTTCTTATAAATCAAAGGGTATAAGCTTCGTTGGAAAACCATGTTGTAGAGAAGTGCCAGGTCTGGACTACAGGCCTGGACTATGTGTGACTGTTAAAGTATAAAGGAGCTCACAAACAGACCACTGGTGTACTTGGAAAAGTTAAAATTTCCTTCCAAACTGAAAATAACTTCAGTACCAGAACAGCATATGTCAGCCATTATTCTGGATATAAACTGGTATATATCAAAGTTTCAGCTCAAAAAAGAAATCACATGAGAATACCACAAACTCCTGTGCCATCAAAAATAAATTATGAGCCAGGCATGGTGGTTCATGCCTGTAATCCCAGCTACTTGGGAGGCAGAGAACATGAGAATCAAGATTCAAGGTCAGCCCAGGCAAAAGTTAGCAAGACTTTCAACAAAAAACCAAAACTGAGGGCTGGAGACACAGCTTAAATGGTAAGAGTGCCTGCCTAGCCAGTGCCAAGTCCCTGATTCAAACCCAGGTATGGCAAAGGAAGTCTAGTGTGGTAACACTGTGTCTGTCTGAGCTAGGCAATAGATAGGAGGATCAAAGTCTGAGGACAGCCTCAGGCAAAAAGTAAGACCAAATGTGAAAAATAACCTAAACCCAAAAGGGCTGGAGGCAGCACTCAAGTGGTAACTACCTACCTAGTAAGCATAAGGCCCTGAGTTCAAACTCCAGTACCACCTCCCCCAATTTTCTTTTAAAATTACAAATTAGACTGCAGTATAGGAATGTAGAAAAGTAAAAATAAAATTAAAACATTATGAATGCTCTAGTCTGGGGGCTCCATGGAGATATCAGACGGGTAAGGAAGAACAGAAACAAGGTCAGGAGAGGGAAAAGGAAGGGGTGCAGCAGAAGCAAAGGCCCAGCACCTCTAGTGTGACTACACCAACAGCTGCAGCACAAGGTGGGAATGAGATCAACAGCACAATCCCACTGAATCTGGAACACGGTGGTGGGGGCAGGGGGAGGCGTTATATCCATGTGAAAGGCAAGTATGTACTACTAAAGCATTAGCTTCAAAGAGACAATAACCAATAAAGTCAGGCTTTTCAGATTTATTTGCCAGTGTGTGCTACGGAATCTGTGAAGGAATTCAGACTGCTGTAGAGGAAATAAATTGAGTAAGGTATGAATCTAAGAATTATTTGCAAAACACAAAAGCAAATGATAGGACAAGGTTAATTGTTAGCTATCTAGGTTAAAAAAAAAAAGTAGGAAGGGGGCAAAGATTTAGCCTTGGAGGTCTGATACAGACAGAATGGAAGGTAGAGAGCTAAGACTCTATGGTGTAGAGGGAACCACACGGCTTCCATGGTAACCAAGTATAACCCACGCCCTCCAAGAGTACCGAGAGAGAAAAGAGGTGAGAACTGGGGACACAGACGTGGGCTCAGCAGTTTGGAGGCCATGTGAGAGGGTAGGATCTCTCAGGATGTGGGTGCAGTTTTATGCCAGCAATTAAATTTTCAATCCATCATCTAGCCAAATCACCTACCTATGGTCTTAAAAACAATAGAAGTGGGCTGGAGGTATGGTTCAAGAGGTACAGCACCTGCCTAAGACCCTGCGTTCAAACCCCACTACCGCAACAAAGTCAAACAAAAGACAATAGGAGTGTTCAGAGTTCTGGAAGCTGGGAGCCCAAGCTGGTACCAGCATGTTCAAGTTCTGGAGAGGGCTCTTACGGGTTGCAATGGCAACCTTTTCATTATCATCTCCCATGGTAGAGGACAGAGGGAGTCTCTGAGTTTTTTGTTTGTTTTGGGGTTTTTTTTGTTTGTTTGTTTTTTGTACTCAGGTCTTTTTACTTGTTAGGCAGGCATTACTCCTCCAGCCCTTTTTGCTCAGCTTATTTTGGGGGCAGGGTCTTGCTTTTTGCCAAGGCTGGCCTGGTCTGCAATTCTATTTTATACTCCTCACCATAAGTGGGATAACAGGCACACGTAGCCAAGCCTAGCATTTTTTCCCTGTTGAGATGAGTCTTACAAACTATTTTTGCCCAGGCTGGCCTGGAACTGCAATCCTCCCCCCATCTAAGGCTCCCAAGTAGTTAGGAGGTGGCATGAGCCACCAACCTGAGGCTCTGGGCCTCTTTTATAGGGAGACTAATCCCTTTCATGATGGTTCAGCCTTCATGTCTTAATCACCTGCCAAAGGTTCCACCCCCTAAAACTATTAGGTTGAGGGGTAGGATTTCAACATGCAAATTCTAAGAGAAACACAAACATTCAGTCTGTAACACCTATATAACTTGATGTCTCAGAATGGAAAGTATGAATTCTTCAGGTATGTTCTGTCAAAACTTCAGAAACAACCTTATTGAGGTGTTCCACAGTAGAGAAATAGCCTGCAGAATGAGTTAGAGCCAAGACAATAAGGTAATTATGAGTTCCAGATAAAGGTCCTCAATGGGTATTTAGCACAAAAGGGTATATGGAGTGAAAGATGTAATCATTTTCTGAGTTTGGGATAACATACAAAGGCAGTACAATGGCAGTTTTTTACTTCTCCTTATGCATTTTTAGTTTAGCAGGCATTTGTTTAAAGTTGAATAATTTCTTACCATCCTTATTACTGTCAAAAACGACGACAGACACATTAGTAGAGGGGTTTTTCGGTTTTGCAACATTGAATACATCGCTTGCAGAATGAAAAGAAGGATAAAGGGATGGCAAGTCCTTCAGGGTGCTGTTGGCCGGCAGGGGTGGGTCCAGGACAAGCATTGGCACCTTAATGCAGTGCGTCAGCAGGCATTCCAACTGCTTCTCACTGTAAAGAGAAGCCAACACGCTCACAACTACGCTCCTAAAACTTAGTCAGCATGAAAAGCTTGTCACCCTACCGAATTCAGGAAATTTCTATGTAAAAAAAAAATTATACATTAATAAATGAGAAAATTTATCTCAATATAAAAATTTAGCCAGTTAGTGAGTATGGCATAACATTAACAAACAGGTCACACTCTAAAGATAAGAGTTTTCAAACTCCCATCAATAAAATAAAATTGCCACCCAAACTGACTAACTCAAAAGTCTACAAGAAACTAAGTACTTCATTATTATCATTAGTAAGGATTATACATAATTACAGTGAAGCTCACTGTTAGGCTGATTAGTTAGTAGGGAGATTCTGGTTAGCAGAGAGTCATGTTACCTAGCACATTTTACCCATTCCAGTTAGAGTACAATCAGTGCATTGGTCATTACATAGATATAAATGAAAGCAAGTGTGACATGGTTCTAACATGAATTTATATAAAATATTTCTATCTGAGTAAGAGAAATACCTATAACAAGCATTTGTTAACCTGAATAAACAAATAGGCAAAGAACACAGCTAGGAAATTCACAAGGTGGGCACTACAATGAATTAGACAATGTACAAAACTGTTCAGCCTCCCTCATAATCAAAGAAATGCAAAAGAAATCAATAGTACTCCTCAAAAAATGATGACTCAACATTAGCTGAGCACAATTAGCACAGCACACCTGTTCCTCTCAGCACTGGTGGCATCACTTCATGAAGGAACAAGTCCTTGTGGAAGCAACTTGGTTGGGTGTATATATGCAATATATAATACACAAGTGTCCATATATATTGAAAGGTATGATGCATGAAGACAATGCATTAACATAAAACTAAAGGGTAAGATACAAAATTGCACATAGATTATAAACTGTAACTATTAAAATATGCTTAAGAAAATAATAAAAATGATAATTGTGGAATGAAGGTCCAGAATTATGTGTTTTGTTTTTCTCAGTCTCTCCATAATGTTGCACCATTAGTTTTATTTAAATAATTTAGGTTATTTTTTAAAAACAGTATTAAGCCAGGCGTGGTGGTACAAGCCTGTAATCCCAGCACTCAGGAGGCCGAGGCAGGAGGATCTATCAGCTCAAGACCAGTCTAGGTACATAGTGAGACCCTGCCTCAAAATAAATAAAAACCACTCAGCATTTACATTAGCATAATTTATAAATAAAGCCACATAATTAATATAAAAAGATGATATAGGCACCAGGCAGGTGGTGCATGCCTGTAATTCCAGCACAAAGGAAGTAGAGCCTGGAGGATGGTTGGCTTAAGGCCAGTCAGTCCAGAGGCACCTGCACACCCATGTTTATTGCGGCACTATTCACAATAGCTAAGTTATGGAAACAGCCAAGATGCCCCAGCACTGACGAATGGATTAAGAAAATGTGGTATCTATACACAATGGAATTTTATGCAGCCATGAAGAAGAACGAAATGTTATCATTCGCTGGTAAATGGATAGAATTGGAGAACATCATTCTGAGTGAGGTTAGCCTGGCCCAAAAGACCAAAAATCGTATGTTCTCCCTCATATGTGGACATTAGATCAAGGGCAAACACAGCAATGGGATTGGACTTTGAGCACATGATAAAAGTGAGAGCACACAAGGAAGGGGTGAGGATAGGTAAGACACATAAAAAATTAGCTAGCATTTGTTGCCCTTAACGCAGAGAAACTAAAGCAGGTACCTTAAAAGCAACTGAGGCCAATAGGAAAAGGGGACCAGGAACTAGAGAAAAGGTGAGATCAAAAAGAATTAACCTAGAAGGTAACACACACGCACAGGAAATTAATGTGAGTCGACTCCCAACCAGCAAAAACACTTGTTTCTTCCTATTATGGCTTATACTCTCTCTACAACAAAATTAGAAATAAGGGCAAAATAGTTTCTGCTGGGTATTGAGGGGGTAGCGGGGAGAGTGGGTGGTAAGGGAGGGGGTGGGGCCAGGGGGGAGAAATGACCCAAGCCTTGTATGCACATATGAATAAAAATAAATAAATAAATAAATAAAGGCCAGTCAGGTCTGCATAGTGAGACCCTAGCTTAAAAAAAAAAAAAATTCAGAAAGGCAATTAGGATCATCTCCACAAATAACTTTTTTAAAGTCTAAGTTAAGTAAAGCAGTGGCAATTAATAGATATTTCTGCTTGTCAGTGAGCCAATCTTATTTTAAGGACTTATCAGACTCAAGTATGATTCAAATCAAATGTATCTATCAAGAGAGATATATCTAGCCGGGTGGGTCACGTCTATAATCCTGCTACTCAGGAGGCAGAGACAGGAGGATTGTGGGGCTAAGCCAGCCCAGGCAAATAATTCATGAGACCCTATCTCATGAATTATTATTATTTTTTTGGTGTGTGTTAAATACCTAACATACACCAAAAAAAAAGGGGGAGGGGGGGCTGGTACAGTGGCTCAAGATGTAGAGCCTGAATTCAAGCCCCAGTACCACCAAAAAATAAATTAATTAATTAAAAAAAAATACATATATATATATATATATGGAGGTGGAGGGGAGAAGGAGAGGGTGGGGGGGGGGAGAAAGAGGGGGCAAGGGGTGTAGGGGGGAGAAATGGCCCAAACAATGTATGCACGTGTGAACAAATGAATTTAAAAAAAACTGTCTATTATCAGAGAATGTGACCTTTCACATTAAGGTCTCAGAGACTGTTATGAAGAAGTGGATAAACTTGTTTGATTTTGAATGACAGTGATACAACAAAAAGAAAAATAATAACTCATAATTAGTTATAATATATAATTAAGTTGTATTTAATACTTATTAAATAAAATTATAACTATTATGTTAAAAAAAAATATATATATATATATGATTCTTTTGGGTTAAATCCACTTACAGGTCCTTAAATGCATACAACTTGACAGCTTCCTAGGGGGAGAAAAAATATATATATACACACACACACATATTTTACATATATATGTATATATATGGAAATGCATATGAATATCTAAGTAAATGATAGCTACAAACACTGGGTATGAGTTAGAGTTTAAGGAGGTCAAGAGAACAATGCATCAAGACAGATTAGGTGAGTACTCTGACTTCCAAAACCAGTAAGGCTTTGGTTGGCTAGAACCCGCATAACCAGGGTTCTCAGTCAGCCATGCCTTTTAGCACTGTGAAGCTTTTCATCTAACAGATGCACTTAGTTTGGGGTCAAAAACAGCAGAAGAGGGACTGAATCTGAGCAATACCTTAAATACAAAATACCGTGTACTCAGCAAAAACAAATGATAATCTGGCAATTTCACTTCATTCCTTTGGTTTTTATCTCCGAGAAGGAATCAAAATGCTTACCTTTTCTTTGTTGGTTCTGTTGTGTTCTTCCCAAGGATTTCTCTAATGAAAAGGAAATATAGTTCATTATATATGCTTGGGCTAGTGTTAGTCCCAAAAGTGAATAGGAGGGACTTTGCAATGTTGAGTTTCTTAGTTATTTCACTGCAACTAACATACAGGTAAGAAGCTTTATAATGTTTATAGCATTTAAAAATCCATGTTCCAATGAGATGTTATCAACAAATGTACCTCTCACTATCCCCAAGACAGTTCACTTAAAATATGAACTTTTATATCTTACTAGTAAAACATGCAAGCAGGCTGTCAGTCATTTTCAGGCACTGGAAAGGTCTTACAGTCCCTACACAGACAGAATTTATTGCAGTTTAAGTTGCCAATGTCTTCCAACTGGGGTGCACCTTTGGCATTTGTAAAGAAGTGAAGGGGAGGAAAAGTCATAGAGGGTGAATATGATCAAAGTACAACATATGCATGCATGGAAATACCACAACGAAACTCCTTTGCACCATTAATATATGCTTTTCAAAAAGTGAATAGGGAAGCAATCCGTAAATACTCCTAATGAGGGGAATCAGCCAGTGTCCCTGCTCTGCAGTCTCTCTAGGAGTCACTGTTCCAAGGCTTACTGACCAAAATCACATCTTAAATAAAAAGTACCAAAGCTTGTAATTCCATAGTCCATAATTTGGTATTAAAAGAAGTAAAAGGAAATATTCTTTTGATTGTATTTTTCAGATGGAAACAAGTCTGCAGGCCTATTTTATTTTTCATGAGAATAATCCATCTTTCTGTGAAGGTTTCTTTGCATAATGCATACTTATTTCATGAAGATATGAAACTTGGGACTCACATTGAGAGGCAGGAAGCCCAGGGTTTCCTTGGGAGCCCCTCCTCCCACCTTTAGGCCCCTTAGAAACCAAGCCATCACTTCATAAAACAGCTACTGAACAAAGTGAGGTGGCATGTGCCACAAGTGGCTGGGTCCTCCTTAGGCATGAGAGTCAGATGGATGACTGCCTAGATCTAACACTATGAATCTGAAAGCTGATCTTTGGATAGATTGTGAAATCACCTTACTCTTCTCAAATGTGTGCTGACTTGTACTTATAGGATGAGGTGTGTTTTGTTTAAAAATCAGGTTTACCTCATTGCTTTCTGCTCCTCCTCCATCTGCTCTCTCACCTGCTGTAGCTCCTTCAGTAGTTCAAGATCTGTGCCGTTGACCCACGTATAAACCACATCGATCGGCATGGGCAGACAGAGCCTAGGGTAAACCCACAAGTCCTCCAGCTTAAATGCATTTTTCCAGTGTATTTAGGAATAGGATTATAACACAGTTTAAATTTACATGTTGTAGGAGAATGATGGAAGGGGTGAATTCAGCCTGTTATACTGTAAGAACTTTTCTAACTGTCACAATGTACTCCCAGTACAACTGCTGGGTCTGGATACCTAAGGCAGATGAGTGAGTAGCCCATCCCCCATGGAGAACACCATGAGCCCTGCACCCTGAGGAGTTATAAATCTGCATTCCTACACCCTGAGGAGGAGATACAGGGTCTCAAAAATCTGCCACGGGGCTGATAAACAAAATGCTCTCAAGGTTGTCCCCTCCCCCCCAAATAAGGGACAAACAGACCAGCTCATCAAAGAGAGCCCACATGCAAATACATAGCCGATAGAAAAAAACCCACCTAAGTGATACCCTAACCCAGTGTTAAAGTGTCCACAAAAAGCCCCAGCCTTCACTGTGCAGTGAGTTACCAGCTTCTGGGATCCTCTACACTTCTCTAGCCGTGGCCTTTCCTTTCTCTCTAATAAATCCTACTTTACATACCGGCTTTGACTCCTCATTCAGCTGCCTCAGGAGCCAGTTCCCTGGCCTGTGAAGGCAAGGACCCTCAACACTGGCACGTAACACAGCAATAATACCATAATAAAAAAAATCTCCAAAAAAAACCCCTTACATGTTATGGAAAAAAAAAAAATCAAAGAGAAAGTCATCCTAATAAGGCATATATCACAGAACTGCATGTTTTCCAGGAGCTAGGGGAGTTAATGTTTGTCAAACACATTCTACCTGAGTTGCATTACACTAGAAACTTCATGAAATTTGCATCATTTGATCCTCCTAACCACCCTATAAGGAGATTGACATATCACTCCATTTTAAAAGATTATTTGGAGACTGGGGATGTAGCTCAGTGGCAGTGCTACATCCTAGTATATACAAGGTCCTGGGATCAATTCCCAGTACTGCAAAAAAATAAAAATTAAAAATAAATAGAACATTATTTGGGAGTAGAGTGAGTGGTCTTGGAAGCTCAGATTAGATAAACTGCTATGTTCTCATATTTTAGCAAATGAAGAAGTTGACTTCTTAAAAAACAAAACACAAACGTTATCGAACAGTCCAAATAGTCTGGGGTGAACACCTGGTCCATTTAATGCTGCAGCCTTCTCATGCCCTGAAGCCCCCAGCTCAGCCCCTCCTGAGCTTCCTCATCTCACCATGCCTTTCTATTATTTCATAACACCTGCACCTTTCTAACATATTAAATAATTTGTTGGTTGCCTATTCTGTTAATTACATGTGTATTCCTTTAAATGTATGCTCCCAGAAGGTCGGAGAGCTTCCTGCTGTGTTCCCTAAAGCATCCAACATGGGGTAGAATGCCTGGCTCAGAAGCTCCCAACACGCATTTGATAATACAGATAAGACACTAGGACAGAATTCCTTCTGAACATGCTCCATTTGTTCCTAATTATATCTGAACATGCTCCATTTATTCCTAATTCTCTCATCTTGAAAACAGAGTCAACAGCCTTTCAATTCTTCCGTCTGCTATTTAAGCCTCACCAACTTATCAAAAACCCACCCATCTTTCACCTTTGGGGCCTGCTCCAGATCTATACTGCTCTGATCTATGACGCAGGACTTCATGGATACATTTGGGTGCTGACATTACTTTGAATGGTTCTTTCCAAGTATGGCAGTTTCCAAGCAACTGTACAGTTTTCTTTTGTTTTGTTTTCTGGCCAAGTACCAAAGCTTATCCTCCTGCTGTCCTTCCCACAGCCCAGGCATAGGATGAGGCTTTTGGCTACAACTGTATTACTGAGTGCAGGGTTAATTATTTCATGGGACAATAAATGTAGTTTGGTGGCTAAATCTTTCAGATTATAGAAGGAAAAAAAATAAGTCAAAGTGACCACCATGTTTTAAAAGAAATAAGTAAGCCAAGTATGGAGGTACACACCTGCAATTCCAGCACTCAGGAGGCTAAGGCAGGAGGATCACAAGTTTGAAGCCAGCCTGGGCTACATAGTGAGACCATGTCTCCATTTCTCAAAGAAAAACAAGAGAGAGTAGGCTTGATGTAGAGCTTACATTCTAAAAGAGTGAAGATAGGAAATAAACCAAATAAAGTTGGAAGATATGGTTAAATGTTACTGAGAAAATAAAGCAGAAAATGGGAATAGTTGAAAGTATGTATATGTCGGAGGGTCACTTTAAATAAGGAGACCAAAGATGGCCTTACCAAAAAGATGGCATTTTGGGGTTGGGGGAAGTAACTCAGTGGTGTGGCAGCATTCTCAAACATGAGGCCTGGGATTCATTACAAGACTTAAAAAAAAAAAAAAAAAAAAAAAAAACTGCTGAGAGAAAGCCTGGAAGCAATCAATAGGTCAGAGAAAGATAACATCACCATTTGCAAATGCCCTGAGGCAAGTGCTTATCTGGCTGGCTTGAGGAACTAGAGGCCAGTGTTCTCTACTTGAGGCAAAGGGGAACAATGGAAGAGCCAAATTAGAGACAAAGGTCAAAGAGTAACATAGTATCCAGAACTTTGTAAGGAAAATGAGGAATCACCTTACCTACCAGATAGTTTTCTGGGGAGGTTTCCAGCTGCCTGCAGAACAGTCTAAGTTCCTTTCTGGTCTGCACCTTGTGCTCTGATTGTTGTAGCTTTTTGCCCTTACCCTTACCCAAACACATAAGAACCTCCATGATCTTGTGCCTTTGAACCTACTTTCCCTCTGTCAACTGTCCTTTCTTTCATGCTTGTGTGTGAGAGATACTGTGGTGTGAACTCAGGGCCTCATGCTCGCCAGGCAGGTGCTCTACCACTTCACCCCTTTTTCCATTGGTTATTTTTGAGATAAGATCTTGCTTTATGCCCTGGTCAGCCTGGACTGTGATCCTCTTGTTTGTGCTTCCCCAAGTAACTGGAGGTGACAGGCTTGTGCCACTACAATCAGACATTGCTTGAGATGAGGGTCTCCCAAACTCTTTTGCCCAGGCTGGCCTCCCAATCTCTGCCTCCCAAGTAGCTAGAATTAAAGGAATGAGCCTCCAGCACCTGGCCTCCTTCATTCTTCTTTTAATCACCTCCTCCTTCCCCAATCCTCCTTCACTTCTCCCTACTCCAAAGAGAATTTATTGCTTAATATGCAGCTTCCGTAGCCCTTTGTACTTGAAGATGTTTAGCATACTGTGATGTACCCTTTTATGCATGCATCTGGGTAGAAACAGTATCATGCATTGTGTCCTGTTTCATTCATTATTTCCTTTCTTTCCTCCATCTTTGTGATCTTTCTCCCTACTGCAACAGTATACAAAAGCTTCCCTACCTGGGTTTTTTTCTGTATTTATCTATATCAATAGTTCTCGAACATTAACAGGCATCAGAATCATGTGTAGGACTTAGAAAACAGTTTGCTGGTCTCCAGAGTTTCTAACTGAGTAGGTCCAGAGTGGGGCCTTGGAATTCTCTTTTCTAGGAAGTTCCCAGGTAATGCTGCTGCTGATCTAGAAAGTGACTTTGAGAATAGTTCATTTACATGTAGGCTGAATTTTACCTTTCTCCCGCTACAATGCCAGCTCTACATAAGGTCAATGAATTTATCTTGTTCACCACCATCTGCCTAGGACCTAGAATAGTGCCTGGTACACAAGTGGGGTATAATACATAATTATTAGATAAATAACTATAGTCAATGCCTTCAGCATATACATCAGTGTTTCCAAAAATAAAATCCACCTGATTTATAATTCTCACAATTAAATGATCCAAGGTCATTCCCAATCTCCCAGGTTGCTCACACTAAAAATAAATTTCATGAAACTGTTTGAGTGACATATGTAAAATGAAAGGTTACAGGTAGAGGTTGAGAAATGCATGTTCTAAAGTTTTCCTGTAAAAGTAATTACCTGCTCTTAATGGTTTTTAATAAAATAAAGAGATACCCATCAAGTTCAACTGAAGAAAACAACTTAAGTATAAAATTCATTTATATGTTAGCTCTTCTAGTAAGGTTATTATTACTACGTGATGAATTTAATTCCCTGGTGAAACTGAAAACCCAAATAAGATCATGCGAAATGCTCAAGGTCGTGAGTCGTTTTCTAGTAACATGGGCATGGTGATTGTGTGAACTTTTTCAACCACTATCCTCTATCTTGTTCCAGATGAGAAGAAAGCTTATTCAGAGCTGACTAAATCACCTCTGAACTCAGAAACCAAAGATGTTGGTGGACCAACGTTTACAATTTTTACCATTGCTTAGTTTAAGTAGTATCAAGGTCACTTAATACCCTTGTTTCTATATTCTACAAAGTAGGCAAGAAAACGAACTTAAATAGTTGTAAAGAGATTTTTATAACCTATCTAATGTCCGATTTACAGGCCCCAGCTTGACTCACTGTCTCACAAAGCTTTATGTTGAGACCCTGTCTCAGATAAATAAGTCAATAAATGTTTTTAAAACTTTCTTTTAGAAAGAAAATGAGAGTATTTATTAAACCTGCTGTACTCGAAAATCCGGATTTTCTAATAAGGCAGCTTTGCTTTCCAAATGTCAGAAGTGCCTTTGTGAGCAGACAATACCTGGGTGGCATTTGTCACCACACCAAGGTCACAGTGCAGTACTCAATGAATGGGCAAGAGTAAAAGTTTAATCTTTGAACTTTCCTCAGGAAATTGGTCATTTTGAAAAGGAAAATTAAGAAGCAGGAAATTACCATTTATGGAGAGTCCTTTAATGCAGTAGCTGATGTTGGTCACCAGACCAGTGGGCTTCAATGCCACCAGAAACTGTGAGAAATCAAATTCTTCAGAGCCCTAAAAGCTACAGACTCAGAATTCTGGAGAAACTCGCTTTGCCTCAAGCCCTCCATCACCATTGCCAAAAGTTTACAACTCCTAAATTAAAGGGTCCCTTATCACTGAAAATTATTAAGACCCCAAAAGACTTTGTTGTAGTTGTTAATTATTCTATTGCATATTTGAAATTAAAACAGACATTTAAAAAGCAATTCATTTTTAAAACAATAAGCCCCCTCATGTAAAACATTTATAATTTTTGAAGAACGTAATAACTGTATTTTCTAGGGTGGCGGAAGT